TGCCCTGGCGATACAGTAAAAAATAAGAACCTGAAAGGTTTTCCCGGCTAGGAAATTCAAATGTACTACGGCTGCCCGTGCAAAGATACCATTGAAACCTTGATCTGATCAAAACATAGGTATCTAATTCATACTTGATTACAATTTGTGCAGCACTCCCTGAGGGTAGGAAGGCCAGCAACAACAATTTCAAGTCCAAGCCACATTTTCCTCATTTTCTCGTTCGAGCCACCTCTAAATCCTCGTCCTTCCAATAATTTTTTTATAAGTGTCTAGTCCTCCAAGATAAAACTATTTTTTAAGAATCGGGCCACGTTAGGGCATAAATAAAATATGCCAAACATTTTGCTACTTATTTCATATCGCGAAGGTTGGCCAGTACGTGGCAGAAGAGTTTTAAGTTTTACCTAAATAAAGTTTGACATCATTCTCATGTCTCTAAAGTTTCAAACATGATTTAATCATTGCGATACTTTATTCTATCCATTTTTTATGCCCTAACGTGGCCAGATTTGTTTTATCTACAAGAATTAGAAACTTATTAACACATAACAATCGAATGACGAGGATTTAGAGGTGGGTTGGACAAGAAAATGAGGAGAATGTGGCTCGGACGAGAAGTTGTTGTGGCTGGCCTTACTCCCCTCCCCACCTCGAGAACCTCATTGGAGAAGAAGATCCTGACTGGGTTAGGCTCCTTACAACAGTAGATGGAATATTTTCCAAGTAATATATTTTACACCATGATAATTTGTCCAATTGTAAATAGGGTTGTTAATTGTTTTTGAAAACGATCGTTAAACGATAGTTTTTTGTTTTGTTTTTCAATCGTTTTCAAAAACGATCGTTTCGTTGTCGGGTTTCATTTTTCAATCGTCGTTTTTGGAAAAACGATCGCTTTTAAATAAAAATTACATGCAAATTTATTGAATGTTGTCTTACATGAAATTTAACAGTTGTGGGGGAGCTAAAACTTCTTGATATTTTCTTAAAAACTACTTAATGATAATTACAGATGCCCTTCAGGTCAGTTTCATCTCTTCATTAACAATCGTTAACAAAGGGTCGTCATTAACAATTGTTACACAGGGTCGTTGTTAACGATCGTTAAGAATGGGTAGCCGTTAACGACCGTTAACGAAACGACGAGTTTTATATAAACGATAGTTTTTTAAAAAAGGTTGGTTTTAAAAACGACCATTTTTAAATAACGAAATTTTTATAAAAACTATCGTTTCGTTTTAGATTTTTCGTCGTCGTTTTCATAACGAAACAATGGTTTATCAAAAAAAATGAAAACATTAACGTCCATAGTCATGGGAAACTAGTATGTGAATTATCAAAATTTTCAAATTTTAACCTCCTCGGATACTAAACGAACAATGATGCAAATTCCGCTCAGAGAGATCTGTTTTCAATATATACGCAGGGTATACGCTACTGCAATTAACTTTCCTTGTATTATAACCTTGGTTGTTAGAAAATTTCTTTGTTGTACACATTTTATGAAGCGCTATGCCATGTCTTATATATGAAATGTCCTGTCAGACAAACTGTATAAAGAACACTGTATAAAGTATACTGTATAAAGTATACTGTATAAAGTATACTGTATAAAGTATACTGTATAAAGTATACTGTATAGTATACTGTATAAAGTATACTGTATAAAGAACACTGTAAAAAGTATACTGTATAAAGTATACTGTATAAAGTATACTGTATAAAGTATACTGTATAAAGTATACTGTATCAAGTATACTGTATAAAGAACACTGTATAAAGTATACTGTATAAAGTATACTGTATAAAGTATACTGTATAAAGTATACTGTATAAAGTATACTGTATAAAGCTAGTATACTGTATCTAGTATACTGTTTAAAGTATACTGTATTTAGTATACTTTATACACTAACCATTCATGCTATGTAATTTATGTATAAGTTTAAAGTATATATAATGTATACAGTGCACTTTTGTAAAGATTTAAAGTATATATACTGTATACAGTACACTGTCCATGTATTTTATGTAATATATTTATATGTTTAAAGTATATATACTGTATACAGTACACTGTCCATGTATTTTATGTAATATATGTATATGTTTAAAGTATATATACTGTATACAATACACTGTCCATGTATTTTATGTAATATATGTATATGTTTAAAGTATATATACTGTATATAGTACACTGTCCATGTATTTTATGTAATATATATATATATGTTTAAAGTATATATACTGTATACAGTGCACTGTCCATGTATGTTATGTAATATATGTATATGTTTAAAGTATATATACTGTATATAGTACACTGTCCATGTATTTTATGTAATATATGTATATGTTTAAAGTATATATACTGTATACAGTACACTGTCCATGTATGATATGTAATATATGTATATGTTTAAAGTATATATACTGTATACAGTACACTGTCCATATATGTTATGTAACATATGTATAGGTTTAAAGTATATATACTGTATACAGCACACTGTCCATGTATTTTATGTAATCTATATATAATGTATATATAATGTATCCAATAAACGTCAAAACGGCTGAACCGATCTGGCCCAAATTTTTGTGGGACCTCACGTGACCCCAGGGAAGGTTCATGAATGATCAGAATTTTAAAAACTTAAGTTTATAAGTTTTTTATTTTTGAAAAATTTTGAAAATGCGCAAAAAAATATTATGAAATCCGCTAACTTTTTCTGTTTTTGTTTTATACTGTACAAAGAAAAGATGTTCAGAGATAAAGCCACAATTAAAAGTTAAAATAGGAGATGGGCGCGAAGCGCCCTGAATTACTAGTATATTTATATGTTTAAAGTATATATACAGTACACTGTCCATGTATTTTATGTAATATTGTTGACCTTTAAAAAAGGTCAAAAATATTCTAATAAAGAAATCAGAAAAAAACCAAATATTCTATAACATTTATTTATGAAAAATAATATTGTTTTGAAATATTTGACCAAGACATAAAGATTGCAAATTGGTTGGTTAAGAAATTAATAAAGGAAAACGACTAAGAAAAAAGTCCGCCAAGTACTAGAATCCTTGAATCCTTGGTGTTCAGAGGTTTCTTATTCTTGGATTCATGGAGTTGAAGAGAATTATTGTAAACTCTGTATCTCTTGGAGAAATATTATTCTAAGAAAATAATTTTTTTGATATTTTCATAGTTTTCTAGTCTTTGTCACAAAACTCCTGCAGCATTCCTTTATCTTTGCAACCCATATCGTAAACCTTAGATATTTCAAACTATGAATTCTTTTATATCAAAAAATTTATAATTCAAATATCAATTAAGGTTTACACCATTAGGTTGTATAGATAAGGATAAGAAAATTTGAGTTTGACGCAAAGACTCAATTACTTTACTTCATTTCTTTTCATCAATTCATTTTGAATGTATTACTTACTACTGCCTCAGACCTCCACTGTCAGAGTAAGAATTTATTAAGAAAGCGTTAAAGTTCTACTTTGCCTATCTTAGTTATGTTTTTACATTAAGGAAAATTGAAATTGTAATGTTTTTCTTTATTTTTTTTTGGAAACCATTTTGTATATATGAATACTAAAGATTTAAATGAATTGTCTGTAAACATTGACATTTACAGTTTAATCCTAATAGAGATGAAAAAAATCCCACGGGAATTATTTTGAAAGAAAAGGGAAAAAATCAAAAGAACGCTTGCTTTTAAAATTCAATCATATTTTTCCAACTAACGAGTAAAAATAAATTTTTTTTTGATCAAATTGTCAAAACTGATCTGGAAAGTTCGTTTCATGTGCATTGTGCAGTGTACAGAGTGTTCCAATGAACATGAGAATTAATGACGACTTCTATATCGTCTTTGATTCCATGCAGCATTAATTCGTGAACACAATTTTATTAGTATACCCAGTTAAAGCAACCCAAAACTGTTAGTCTCGAGATTTTTAAAATGTGGTCTACTATTTTTACACCTTTATAATAGACGAAGCTATATGGAGAAAGAATTAAGACACAAACTCAAAATTACCTGAGCTGAAAACTTTAGAATGATGGATATCAAGATTAATGCTTAAACTCCTGGTTTTACTAAACCCGAGATTAGTTTAATATGCATTCGATATCCAAGAAAGAAGTATAAAATTTAACCAATCAGCGTATCATGTTGAGATGTACTCCTTAACTTTTAAAAAATTTTAAAACCGGTTTTTGATTTTTCTCCACTATATCCAAGAAAGAACGGTTTAAGAAGAAAATCAAAAGTGTGTCCATTGGATACTCAGATTAAGTAATCGGGATTAAGTATATCTAATTCTAAAGTTTTTACCTCTGATCTAACAGAATTTAAAATATCTCAGGTTAACGACATGGGTTCCAAAGATAAAGGGATTAGAAAATCAGAGTTTGTGGCGAAGACCCTTTGTCCAGATTCCATTTTATCAATTAACAACAAATTGTTAAAATGTTGTTTAAATGTTGTTAAAATGTTGTTAAAATGTTGTTTAATGTAAAAGAACGAAAACCACATTTTTTAAAGCTCCAAAAGGTAAACCTTGTTTAAAAAAAGTTTTGTCACTATTCAACTTATATAGGAAATCAAGTCCCATGCTTATTGGGACACCCTGTTCAATCTTACTAGTCCCATGTTTATCGGGACACTCTGTGCAATCTTACTAGTTCCATGTTTATTGGGACACCCTGTTCAATCTTACTAGTCCCATGTTTATTGGGACACCCTGTTCAATCTTACTAGTCCCATGTATATCGGGACACCCTGTGCAATCTTACTAGTTCCATGTTTATTGGGACACCCTGTTCAATCTTACTAGTCCCATGTTTATTGGGACACCCTGTGCAATCTTACTAGTCCCATGTTTATTGGGACACCCTGTTCAATCTTACTAGTCCCATGTTTATTGGGACACCCTGTTCAAACTTACTAGTCCCATGTTTATTGGGACACCCTGTTCAAACTTACTCGTCTGCCTCCCAGAACTGTTTAGAGTTGAGTTCCAGGAATTTTGGGAAGTTGAAACACACTGTAAACCCAACTGCAAACCCCAAGTATATTAGAAGTGATCTCTAAATAGAAGAAAAATTAATAGAACAAATTTTTTTAAAAATTCAAATTTCAATAAGTTTATGTTTTCTAGAAGATTTGTTGAACATTGTTAAACATTTGCAACGTACGCAGGACAGTTTATATGATATTTTTTCACAGAGCCAAAAGTTGCGAAAATTAGATTGATTTTGATTTTAAAAAGTATAATTTAAAAAAAATTTTGAAATTACCTTATATACTGTAGCAACAGTTCTTTGGTTGTAGTACTTTTCAATAGACAGGCAGACAAGCAGGTACATAGTTACTGAACATTGTACAGTACTGCAATTATGCAAATAATTACAAAACATTGTACAGCACTTGAATCATGAATATGGTTACTTAACATTGTCTAGTACACCCATGCTAACAGTTTCTGCATTAATACAAAAAGTACTAAACATCCTATATTGTAATGTATTAGAATGTTTGATAATTCANCTCTATCCCTCTCTTTTTAGTAATAATTAAAACTACGGGTTTACTTTAAAATTATAATTTGATAAATATGATTTATAACCATGAACTAGAGATTTTAAAAGGAATATTTCAGATTAAAGATGTCCTAATCAAATGAAATGTTGATAGTTGTCTAATTATATAAAGAAGACCATTTTTTCTAGCCCTGTCCTTGCTCTGTATGTTGCATGCAGCAGTAATTAAGTATATAGACAGACTAATGCAAGGAAAGTTAATTGCGGTCGCATGCTCTGCCCACGTATTGAAACCATTTCTCTCTGGGAGGACTTTGTAAACAAGAATAGATGCATCAGTGTTCGTTTCGTATCCGTGGAGGATAAAAGCATTTAATTTTTATAATTTTGAAAATTCACATAGTAGTTTCCTATGACCAGAATATTTCATAGATTATTTTTGTGAAAATTGATTCCATGTCAGGCTGTGACATCCGTCTTGTGTTTACTTTTTCGCCCAAAGACAGTACACTGCAGTACAAAAAATGCGTACACCTCTGAAATAAATTTCCTTGTATTATTACCTTGGACATGCTAATCAAACTATATAGACTTGTGTAGTGTCAGGACCATTGTGATAAGAAATACACAAGTAAAAGCTCTCTTATTCTTAATTAACAATCTATATAAAGATTGTGTGCATATATGCATATATTTGTTTACAAAGAAAGGAATTTAGTTTTTGTCACACACTCTGGTTTTCTAATCCCTATATGTTTGTAGTCGTAAACCTTTGCTATTTCAAACTATCAATTTGGTTAATTAAAATTATCCAAGTTTAAAATATCAAAGGTTGACACCAATAGGTGGCAAATACTTAATTCCTTTGTTTTAATAATAATCATTTTGTACTTTTTTTGCTTAAGTTTTTAATAATTCTTTTATATTTAGTTAATCATAAATAATTGGTTTCTAGAATTTTTAGAATAATAATTAGATATTTATCATCAACAAGATTTTCTGGTTTTCCATGATATGGAGCTACAGGTTTGGCCACAATAGATGATGAGACTTTAATCTTGTGATCTGAAAATCTTTCAATACAATGATTTAAGAGTGATATTTTGTCCCCATTTCTAACACTGAGTGTTAGAAATGGGCACAAATTGAAAGACTGGGTTTTTGGGATCCCGGCCCATATCCAGAGTAAAAGTCGATTGTAAAAACTATAACCAACAATTTATTAAACATAACGAGGACAACAATTCCTAATTTGAAACTTTTTATTTAGATGAAAATTATAAAAGGAGCCCTTTTTTATATTAAATCTCTTGACCGTTTTTAAGAAAATGGTAGGTTTTCCATTTTTCGAACATATCCTGAAAATCATTCAATACTTTGATTTAAGAGTGTTATTTAGTGGTTGGCCTTTTTATTGCAAAATATACGAGCGGCATAGAAAAAATCACGTACATACAGTGAGAACCAGAAATATGTGCAACACACTCTGGGCCGTAGTAAATTTGAATTTGAACAGGACCTGCCCAGTTTGTACCGGCCTGACAGATAACAGCGTGTACTGACCCGATCCTGGTACAGTACGTCGCTCTAACCAGACTAACATACGGCAGGGGTCAATTTTCTTGGCATAGTCCCGTCGGAGGGCTAACCGTGACAACTCCCATGGCGCGTTCAGACTTTTTACAATACCCGGCCTAGGCCTAGGCCTATTTGACCGACCCCGCTGGCTTAGTCCACCGTGAATAGGATTAGAAAAACATGACATTCAAGACATCGGAAGAGTTTTCTAAATGCTGTCTTGAAGATTTTTGCTGGGGTTTGCCGCTGAGACATATAATATGAAGGATTTTATTTCTAAATTAGCGCCCAAATATATGAAAATGTTCGATAATACAGGGTGTCCCACCGTCCCACGAAACAGTTGATAAATAGTTTTGAATGTCCTCTTCCATAACCTGTGTTAGATATTAAAGGTTGTTTGCAGTTTATTTTGTTTAAAAAATATATTGCTCAAATTTATTTTACTTTGAAGTTAATTTTACTATAATATGACTCCTAAAGAATATTTTTATTATTTTCTTTGGTATTAAACAACTTAAAAAATTATGGAAGAAGACATTCTAAAATATTTAACGATATTTTAAAAATTTTCATTCCCGATAGAAACTTTGACATTCAACACAGAAATTTTGATCATGCTTTACACAATACAAATATCCCTATGAATTATATGAATTCGTCCGATGTAAAATAGTCTGTGCAGTGTGCACGCTACAAAATCGCCTTGTTCTCTGTTCCTTGGACTATTTAAAATCTTAACTTGAGCTCACAGTGTACTGGTTCAATTAAAAGGACTAATAAATTTCGTACAGACGTCTCCGAAGTCTCATTATTTTTAGGTTACCCTGTGTAAAACAGTCGCCATACTGAAATATGCTTTTGTGGTCCTAATTAGTTAAGGTAATTTCTACTAATTGATAAAAAAGCTATATTGTATTTGTAGTCGTCTTTGGTTGTAACGTTTGGTCTCATATAGTTGATTTACTAAGTTATTAACAATATTTTGATAAAATCTAGTCGCCATATTGAATTATAAGGTCCTCTTTGTTTTACATTTGAAACCCAATTAGGTAATTTACACGTTTGGGTGGAATCCAGTCACTAAAGTGTTATGTTTGGTAGTTTTTGGTTTTATGCTTGGAATGATGGAGTTAATTTACTAAGTTATCTACAACCAACTCTATATTATTACTAAATTAACTTGCACAGAATTTATACTTGAAATTTGTTTAATTTGATTACATAAAAAGTACATTAATTTATAACTTTTTTGTGTATGAAATGAACTTTACTAATACTACAGGGTGTCCCACATCATATTAGACCGAGAACGGGTCTAAATTACGATTTTCGGGACTAATTAGAAAATTTCATTAGAATGAATCATTTTGAAAAATAACATAAGTCTTATACAAGAATTTTCTTGTGGAAAATGAAAAGTTTTTCGAGTATTAAGGGTTTATTTTGGTGTTAAAGATTGAAGATAATCTAATATGATATGGGACGCTCTGTAGCTAACAAAAATAAAAATAATAATAATAATACTTTACTATAACTAGTCACCATATTTAATTATAAGATAGTCTCTGTGTTTACCTCCGAGACACGTGGAGTTGATGGCTAAGAGGATATGCAGGTACTGGTTGTGCACTTCCATTGCAAAGTCTCGGCTATTCATTGATAAGTATTTTTGTCAAATTATTTGGAATATTTTCCTCGTTTTTTTATACAAGCTGTAGCCAAAATAACACAGAATATTTTATTTTTGTGAGGTTAGGTCTTCTCTTGTCATATGGAGTAATATCGGACAAATAAATTTAATGATTTTTAAATGGAAATAAAACTTGCAACTCACGGGCAGCCGTAGTACATTTGAATTTCCGTTCCGGGTCAATCTTTGTACTGTATCGCCCGGACATTGGGTGAATAACGATGATACATAATAGGACTAGCCGGTGCAACAAGGTTGACGCGGTCAGATTTTAGGTTGAATTTACTTTTACTAAAGGGTCAGAGGTGCGTGAACTAGCTTTGCATTTTCTGAACAGATGCAAAATATAAAATGTGTTTAAAAAAGGAATCTTCTTCGGCCAATTTCTTGTTTATTATTTTAACTTTTATACTCAAGTTTTACAGTCATTATCACAAATTGTTTTTTTCTCTCTTTTAAAATTGGATTTCTGATGAACTTGTTATTCTTATTAATATTCTGTTGTGTTCTTAGAAGAAAATATATCAAATATTTTCTATATAGACAATAATCATAAAGTTAATAATCCAATATATATATTACAGATACATATCTTCTAACAATACTTCATTTTCCAAAAAGATTAAAAAGATAAAAATTGTATTAACAACAGTGTATGTAATATATTCAAAATCTATGAAGTATATATATATGTGTAGATATTTGTAGTAAACCATAGAGGGTGGACGTGGTGGGGGTCAAAATTACCTCCAGCATCCCCCAGCCAAAAGGGTCAATGAGAAAGTAAAACTAAGAAAGTAAAGCTGAGAAATTAAAAATGAGAAAGTAAAAATGAGAAAGTAAAAAATGAGAAAGTAAAATGAAAAAGTAAAAATGAGAAAGCAAAAATAAGAAAGTAAAAATGAGAAAGTAAAAATGAGAAAGTAAAAATAAGATTAAAACTAAGAAAGTAAAAATGAGAAAGCAAAAATGAGAAAGTAAAAATAAGATTAAAACTAAGAAAGTAAAAATGAGAAAGCAATAATGAGAGAGTAAAAATGAGAAAGTAAAAATAAGATTAAAACTAAGAAAGTAAAAATGAGAAAGCAAAAATGAGAAAGCAATAATGAGAAAGTAAAAATGAGAAAGTAAAAATGAGAAAGTAAAAATAAGAGTAAAACTAAGAAAGTAAAAATGAGAAAGTAAAAATGAGAAAGTATACCAACTTCACACTTTGAACTAAATAAGGGGAGATGCATTCGGTTTCTTCCATTTGAATTTAATCGCATTTTGGTCTAAATTCAACTATCTTAAACTTTTATACATATTTTTAAAACTTGTTCATTTAAAACGCTTATACCGATAAATATGCTAAAGAAAAAGCGAAATATCTATGTTTAATTTATGTCAAATCGTGATCAAAAGTCACAACTTGCTGGGATAAGGACAGAATTGTTAAATCCCCGTACGTGCCTTACTTGAAGTTAATAGGGTTAAGGTAAATATTTTAAAACTATTAAAATTAAAATTTAAAAAAGAAAAGTTAAAACTTCTAAATAAATATTATTCCTGATGAAAGGTAGGCAGAAGCAAAGGAAGAAAAACGCCTGAAATAAAAAAGCAAATATATATATATTATATACAGGGTGAGTCAAAAAACCCGGGATTATCAAACTGTTATGACTTCGAAAATGCAAATACATTTTTTGTTATATTTCATTAAATTTTTGATAAATTTTTATGAAAATTTGGAAAACAATTTAATAAACATTTTCCAAACAATCTTTCAAAAAACTTCATTTGTCAAAAAAAAAATAGTTTTGCGGATTTTTTTTTCTTTGTTCCAAAAATATTTTTTAATTTGTTATCACATTTTATTTTATTTATGACCAAAATCCGAAAATTTTGTCACAAAAATTGATAATCCCTGTTTTTTTTTCTTACCCTGTATATATCTATATATATATACTTCACTTGTAGAATACCAAGGATTTCAAGAGTTCTCGATACTCCAAGTGGAGAAAGATATAGTATTTTCAACTTTGTTTAGTTTAAACATACATTTTAGATGTTTAAACATATATTTTTTTTCCAGGACAAATTTTTGTCTTGTAAAATGTTTATTTAAACTGAAAAAAGTTGAAAATACTATTTATATATATATATATACAGGATGTCCCAATAAACATGGGAATGGAGTGACGATTTTGATATTTTTTTTTGTTAATGATTAATTGATTAACAGTTTAACACAGCACTTCGCAGGCAACAAAAAATTCATAAAATGTCGTTTTCTAAACCTAATGAAAAAATGGAATTCTGCAGATATTTAGTTTTTTATTTAAATAATTATTTATGTGGAGCTCTTTTAAACTGTTAACGCATATTTCATGCTACTTATTTATTTTCACAATTACTGAGATTTCAGTATAAAACATACAAAAACCCATTGAAAAATTGTCAAGATGACATTTTATAACTTCTTTTGATGTCTCCGAAGATCTGGGTTAAGTTTTAGTACGCAGTAATGCCATACATAGGAAAATTGTAATATAGATGGTTCGTCGGCTGGAGAAGAGCTCGAAATTTGTTTGTTTATGTTTTGATTGCTAATTGCTGTCCTTAAGCTTTCGGATTCAAGCTGCATCATATTATCCACAGAGTTGAGTTCAGAAAACCGGTTTAATATTCTATGTATATATATATCAACATTGAGTCAGAGCTTTAGTCTCGACTAAAACCAACCAAGGTCGGTTTTATTTTCATTGGGTCTAAATCCTTAAGTCGAGTCGAAGATCTTGCAACTGGCAATCACGTGACGCAAGCTGTCGTCAGAGTTGGGTCGAAGATTGGGTATTAAAGTCAGGTTTAAGGAATTACGGCTCGAGCCGAAGATCTGAATTAGGTCTGTTCAGCATTGAATACAGTTTGCCTCAAATTTTGATCGGGAACGTGGGAAACCAAGGGAATGTTCTTTTTTATTCTTGATTTTGTATATTGACTTTTATTGAGAAAGTCTAGTTTTCAGGCAAAGCTGGGTTTCAAATACAGTATACATATATTTAAAAATGACGGAATCAAAAATATCTCAAATTTTATGTTTAAAAAAATACTAAAGAAGATATTTAATATCAACGGAAAGATTTTTAATGGAATAAAATTTTAAAAAAAATGAAATTTACAAATTTAAAAATTTACATATTTACAAATTTACATACCAGAACCAGAGAATCCACGGTGGCCAAACATCTAAATAAACAAAAATATTTTTTTCAAATATCTAAAATCTGCTTTATTCCTGAAAGGTGTCTCTTGCGCTCTTGTTAAACAAATATGCACTGTAAAAACGTCTCATAGGTCTCATGATGATTACTAAAAAATGTCTCCACAATATACTACATTCTCAGTTCAACTACCATACATTGCCGGGAAAAAAAATATTCAATTTTTTAAACCTTTATGTTGACAATTGTGGATTGGCCAGTATTACGATTGCCCCATAGCTGTAATCTCAAGTAAGGAATTGAGTCTTTGCCACAAACTCTTTATTTATAATCCCTTTATCTTTGGAACCCAATGTCGTACATCTTTGATATTTCAAACTTATATTAATTTATCTAACAGAATTCATAGTTTGAAATATCTAAGGTTTACGAGATTGGAATCCAAAGATATAGGGTTTAGAAAAGCAGAGTTTGTGGCAAAGACTCAATTCCTTTCCATTTAAAAAAGGCATGCCTGATTCACAACGGTACCATTTAAACCTATATCTGAGCAACAATGAGGAAAAATTGCTTATATCGAGGATGCATAAATCCACATTTAACTTTTACGGAGAAACCACAATAAAAAATCATAAATTTTTTGGGAGACAGACAAGAATATCTTCGTCATTTATCATGGAAGAAAATTTATAGGGTACCATTGAGATTTGGGCAAAATATTTTAAACTTTTCAATATTTCAATAATATTAACCTGAGGAGTAAAGTGTATGTTTTATTGATAACTGGTTGAAGAAGACACACTAGAGATCGTAGATTTACTGAAAAATATCATGATAAACCCTTTTTTATCTCTCTATGTAATAAAGCTCTTTAAGATTTTTTTTCAAAATTCGATTTTTTAAAATTCCACAGGCAATGCCAGGCACTTCAGCTATAGAAATCTATATATCTTGCTTGTCTATCTGTATCCAATAATTACGACAAAACGGCTGAACCAATCGTGTCCAAATTTTGTTTTGCAATTCACATTACCCCAGTTCCCAGAGAAGATTTTTGGCTTGTCAAAAGTGGAAATTTTGTCCTCAAAAAGAGTCGTCAATTCTTAATTTTCAATATGCATCAATTAAAACCAAAAATCCGCAATATTTTTTGGTTTATTGCAAAGAACTATAAAAAATGGTTACTGCATGGAAAAGCAATAAAATAGTTAATCCAACCCTATTAGAAAATATTACGAAAGAAAAGTTTCGATTTTTCCACATTTTGTTAAAACACTAACAATTAGTCAAGAAACTCTGTGAAATTTTATTGTTTAAAATCTAAGAAAAAAATGTACGTCTAATTGTTAAAAAATGACGAACGATTTAAACATTAATATATAGATATTCAGAAGCCAAAACTTTAGTGAGAAATGATCTCGATTTCCACTGTGAGCAATTTAAAAATTAAAGGAATTGAGTCTTTGCCACATAACTAAAATTTTCTAATCCCATATTTTTTCAACATGATGGTGTAGACCTTTGATATTTCATAATTAGATAATTTGATCCATCAGAATTTATAGTTTGAAATATCTAAGGTCTACGACATTGGGTTGCTTAGATATAGGGTTTATAAAATCAAAGATTGTAACAAAATTATAGATCCCAAGATATACACTAAAATTTCATCTTGAGATCTAGGATACAGAAATGAAAAATACAGTTCCAACTTATTGATCTCCATTTTTATTAAATCAATTGTAAGATTAAATGAAGAAGAGAGGAGAAAGCAAGGATTAAAATAAAATAGGATTACTGGAGAGAAATTGAAGATAATAGGATGGAGAAAGCAGTTAAAAAGAATTATCAAAAAAAATGGAATTGTAAAAAAAAAATTTCAAGGCTTCTTTAATAAAAATGAACTATACATTTAAGAGGATTAAATTGTGATTTAATTCGAAAATTGAATTAAGATTTACCTTTGAGGCTTTTTCAAATTAAAAGATCAATTTAGTAGTATTTAGATTAAATTGCTTGAAAAATTAGTAGAAAAAAATACTTTAAATAATTTTATAAAACACTTTTGAGGATTACCTTTCAGGGTTACTTTAAGGATTACTTAAAGAATTGATTATGAGAATTTCATTTAGAGAAGGATTACCTTTAAGGATTGCCTTTAAGGATTACCTTTAAGGATTACCTTTAAGGATTATAATTTAAGGATTACCTTTAAGGATTAACTTTGAGGATTACATTTATGGATTAACTTTGAGGATTAGGTTTAAGGATTACCTTAAAGGATTAACTTTAAGGAATTGAGGGGAAAAGACTAAATTTATTTAGATATAAAATATAGAAATAAAGATTAACTTTATGGTTATAAGATCAACCTGCAATTCCCAGTCCAACTATTATAGTGTGAACCACAGCAACTATAAAGAAACTGTACATTTCTTCCAATCTAAATAAATAAACAAATTTACTATAATTTCTAAGTACGAGGTAAAAATGCGTACATTATTACCAAAAATTTTTTGTCATATTAAGAAGACTTCGGAGTCGGACGAAGAAGGAATGAAAGCAACTCAAAATAGGAATAGGTACAATGTAGGAATAGGTACAATGTAGGAATAGGTACAATGTAGGAATAGGAACAATGTAGGAATAGGTACAATTACAAAGTAAGAATAGGTACAGAGTAGGAAAAGGTACAAAGTAGGAATAGGAGGAAAGTAGACATAGGAACACAGCAGTAATAGGTAGAAAGTAGGAATTGGTTAAAAATAGGATCAATGAATAAAGAAGTAACATGAACATAAGTAGGCAATGGAACATAATAAAAACCATTGCAAAGAAGTACTAAGTAGGGAAAAGCACATAATAGACTTAAAGAGAGTGACCGGCTTTGTAAGGTAGTTGAACTGAGTATGCAGTGTTGTGGAAAACTTCTTTCGGATTCATTTGAGACATGTTAATCTTTTTAAAGATCTGTAAATCCTGAGTTTGAGCGCAAATTCGACGTTTAAAACTCCTACTTTGGGGGTGGATACGTCTCCAGAATTAGTTTTTTTTAAATTATTAAATAACGACAACGAAAAATAAAGTAAAAATTATACAGTAATCTTATTAGATAGTTAAGAACATATTTCTCAAAAGAAATTTGTCAATAAATCAATGCTAAAATCGATTATTCCGTTTTCATTATTAAATTGAATTTCTTTGTTTCTTTGAATTTATTCGCAGATTCCTTCAAATTCTTCAAATTAAAAAAATCTGCGAAAATCTTTGTGAATAATAAGAAACCAGAATAAGGAGAAAATAGAGACTAATAATTGAACAAGATTACTTATTTTCGATGATAATACTAATTTTTATTTTCTCAACCTGTTCCTATAACATGACGTCTGTAGTTTATTGTAGAACTTTTTTACATTTTATGTCGTCGTTATTTAATAATTTTAAAAAACTAATTCAGAAAACGTATCCACCCCCAAAGTAGGAGTTTTGACATCGAATTTGCGCTCAAACTCAGGATTTACAGATCTTTAAAAAGTTTAATATGTCTCAATCTCAAATGAATCCGAAAGAAGCTTTCCACAACACTGCATACTCAGTTCAACTACCTTACATAACCGGTCACTTCCTTTAAGTAAAAAGTAGGAAAAGGTCCAAAGTAGGAATTAAACAAAATAGGTACATAAGAAAAGAAGGAACATAAACAATCTAAAAGTTTTTAGGACACAAAATATGAACAAAAGAGGGGCATTAACGAAGTAGGAGCATGAACAAAGTAGGAACCTATGAAATAGGAATAGAAACGAATAGGAGAACTGATAAAGTAGGGATTGGATCAAAGTAGGAGTAACGCATTGACTTTAAATTAAGAAAACAACTAACTATTTAATTAATTAATTAATTAGTTAATTAAGTAACTAATTAAAATAAATAATTAGAAAGAAAAACACAAATTCTACATTTACACAAAATATACAACATAGTTCAGTTTGTTTAAACTTTAAGGTAAGAAAGCATATTCGGAAAAGAAAAAAAAAAAAAATTTAAAGTTCTAAAAGAACCAATGCTTTGCATCTAAAGTTGAACACAAAATACAAAAAATGAAAAAAGTCACATGAAAAGTTTTTGTTCCTTATTTCAGTCTTCATAACACCTCAGATTTTCGTGAAGTTTAGTTAGCTATATATAGTGAACTCCTTTAACTACGGTCTCTGGAAGTGACCCCCTACAAGCACGGTTTCTGGAAGCTAGGTTCCTGGAAGTGACCCCTACAAACGTGGTTCCTGGAAGTGACCCCTACAAACGCGGTTCCTGGAAGTGACCCCCTACAAACGCGGTTACTGGAAGCGAACCCCTATAAGCGAGGTTCCTGGAAATGACCCCCTACAATCGCGCTTCCTGGAAGTTACCCCCTACAAAGTCGCTTCCTGGAAGTGACCCCCTACAAACGCGCTTCCTGGAAGCGAACCCCTATAATCGAGGTTCTTGGAAGTGATCCCCTAAAATTAAGGTTCCTGGAAGTGAACCCCTAAAATTAAGGTTCCTGGAAGTGAACCCCTATAGTCGAGGTTCCTGCAGGGAGAGACCCTTAAGAACGGGTTGTTTCTGAAAGTTAGCCCCTATAATCGAGATTCTTGGAAGGGAACCCTAAGAATGGTTCCTGGAAGTTGACCCCTATTTGATTGGTTTTTGAAAGTGAATTTTAAGTGTAGTTCTTGGAAGTAAACTCCCGTTAGCATGATTCCTGGAAGTTTAGTAAACCGTCTAAAATCACATTTCCTAAGTGGAAGTGAATCCCTATGAGTGGGTTACTGCAAAAGAACCTCTGTAAGCGCAGTTCCAGGAAGTGAATTTCTATAATAAGCGCAGTTTCTGGAGTGAATTTATCTTTTTTCTATTTAATAAACGTGGGTGAGATGTGTATGAAAGAGAAAAAGCAAAATATATTTGTTTAAAAGGTCAAATTGTGATCGAAAGTCACAGGCTGCTAGGGCAAGAACCGAACCGTTAAACCAGCGTGGCGCGCACAATTACTAGAAACCAACCCCAGTCACGTCAAACAACCATAAACTACGTGAAAATTTTGAATATTGAATATTTTTAATCCTAACTCCTGTTCATGAAGAGCAATTAAGAAGATCAAAAATGTTTTGAATTTTTAACAGAAAATAAATTTTTCTTACTGGTTCGTTAAATCAAAACTAGAGGTGCTACGAGGTAACAAAATCGTACCAGTGATGTCTTATAAATTTTACTTTTCCCTTCTGTCAAGTTTACAATGCAGAAGTTCAATGCATGAATACATTTATAAAAACAAAAACCATAACATATTGTACACATCTATAGTATCTAAGTATTATTGATTATAAATATCTTTTTTAACAACTCAATCATAATTAAACAGATTATTTAAGCATAAAAAAGACTTTAAGTGTAGTTTCAAGTAACCCTTCATGCAAAGATGGCTTTCCTCGATTCACAACAGTACCCTTGAAACCTTTATCCAAAGAGAATAGAATATATATTAGAGGGGAATTTAAAGAATCTCTCGTTATGAATTTTTCAGTCCCTTTCAGCCTGAAAGGGAGTTCAAAGTGTACAAATCATGTAAATGTTCACAAATTATATGCAATAGAGTACATTAATACAGTATGTTCCCTAGACTATCCATTTCAATTTTGAATTTTTTAAAGCTGTTAAATAAACTTTATAATGAATAAGGTGAATAAAAAACATCATTTGCTTTATAATTATAACGGAAGATCATCGTTTGTAAAGTGAAAAGCATAGAGTCTATGTGAAATGATCATTGGTCAATTATGAAACCAGCCTATTTCATAATTTGGTTTTCTTTTAATATTAATTTTAGATTTTCCAGGGTCCAAAAGGTTATATAGCATAAATATGTGAAGTACACCTGCAGTATGGAAACAGTACAACAAAACGGCCGTGTCACACTTTTTTCCAGTAAATTCCCCTCTAATATATATTCTATTCTCTTTGCCTTTATCTGATCTGTTGTTTAAAAGTGTTTAATTTTCATAGTTTCTCTGTGTTTGCCTGCAAGTAGAAATGCGCGAGTCACTTTTGTAAAGAAACCACCATTGAAAATAATCATTTTTAAAATTGTAAACATTGACATATATTTAAAGATTTGATCAGGCAAAGGTTTCAAGGGTACCGTTGTGAATCGCGCATTGTCATCTTTGCATGGAGGGTCACTTTAACATTAGGCTTACAGTTCCTGTAAACGAGCTGAAGATGAATTTTGCTCTGCAGTTTGGGAATTTTCCATGAAGCATTCTTTTATTTAACTGATATTTGCCCAGTTTGTTGAGTCCATGTGAGCATAAATACTTTCATAAAGTTCAGTCAATTTAAGGCTATTTAAGGTAGTTAAACTGAGTATGCAGTTTTGTGGTAAACATTTTTCGGATTTAATTTGAGACATATTAAACTTTTTAAAGATCTGTAAATCCTGAGTTTGAGCGCAAATTCGACGTTCAAAACTCCTGCTTTGGGGGTGGATACGTTTTCAGAATTAGTTTTGTTTTAATTATTAAATAACAACAACGAAAAATAAAGTAAAAATTATACAGTAATCTAATTAGATGGTAAGGAACATATTTCTCAAAAGAAATTTGTCAATAAATCAATGCTAAAATCGATTATTTCGTTTTCATCATTATATTGAATTTCTTATTTTCTTTGAATTTATTCGCAGATTTCTTCAAATTCTTCAAATGTCGTCTTTTCAATAATAATTCTAGAAAATCTACGGAAAATCTTTGTGAAATGAGAAACCAGAATAATGAGAAAATATAAACTAATAATTGAACAAGATTACTTATTTTCGATGTTAAGATTAATTTCTATTTTCTCAACATGTTCCTATACATTCATACATGAATTCTGTAGTTTACTGCAGAATTTTTTTACATTTTATGTCGTCGTTATTTAATAATTTAAAAGAAACTAATACTGAAAACGTTTACAGATCTTTAAAAAGTTTAATATGTCTCAAATGAATCCAAAAGAAGTTTTCCACAACCTGCATACTCAGTTCTTAACTACCTTACATTGCCGGTCACTCCCCTTAAGGATAAATAACTCTTCTATACTTAACCCGTAAACAGTCCCTTGACATATCTGAGTAAACAGTCCCTTGACATATCTGAGAAAACTTACCAGACGTTCTGCTGCTGTCCCCACCCCACAGAATCCGGTCGAAGAGTGGAACACTTATATTCTCTCTTCTTCTTAGAATCTCTCTCTCTATATCTCTCTTCATCTTTCAACCCCGGACTCACTCTCTCTCTCTCTCTCGTGTGTATTCATCTTTTCTTTTATTTCTCCCGATACATTACCTAGCTTTTCTTCATATTTTCGTAATTTTTTCCATCTCTTTAGCTCGTCTTTAAACAAATCCCAACCTTATTCTCTAGCACTAGAACTACATCATTTTCTTCTCAAACTATTTCGCCAAAAACTCTGGCATTATCAGGAGTTCGTCCTTTAATATTACTGATATGAGCAAAAAATTAAAAATATTATATAAAAGAATCTTTTTTTAGACAATGAATCTATAAAATAAATAATAAAAGCATTTAACTCGAATAAACAAAGAAAAGAACGAAAATAAAAAAAAACTTTTTATGTAACCTTTACAATAAGGAATTTTTCAAAATGAATATTGTCAAAACAAATATAACTTAAAAGAAAAATTAGAAAATCGTACCTTACTCTTTTGAAGAGTATTGAATAACTGGAAAAGGATTGACTAGTCTTTCCATCTCTTACATGTTAATCTCAGATTTTACCATCTGTCTGTTAGTAGATATATGTATACTGTATACAGAGTACAACTTACTCTAGCAGCCAACAGTCGGTCCGATACCTCAAATAAATAAGAGATTTTAGTGCTATACTTTTATATAAAGTTATTAAGACTCATTATATTTTATCTTTATTACTCTTTTTTTGTGTTCATATATATATATTATTCATCATTTCTATTTGTCTAAAGCAAAGTTACATTAAACGATATAAAAGTTTATAAACTAATACTCTTTTCTCTGGATATCGCATTTTATAATTGACATTAGCATGAGTATAGTAAAGTTTAGTTATTCTGAGGTGGTTTTCAGAAATGGAGTTTCTCTTTCATAGTCTAGTGTTTTTCGTTTTCTTAAAATGTGATATGATGACAGTACTGCAAGGCTTGATAGATTTTCGTACATTGCTTTGAAACTAACACTGGGTTTGCAGAACTAATATAGCTATATGCCAAACTTCTAAACTCAGTCATTTCTCTCTACCTCTCTATCTCTTCAGTGTTCAATAATCTTTTCCACGAAATAAGAGCCTTACTTTTTCTCATTAATCTTGAAATTATTGGATTTTCTCTCTCCCTAGCTCTCTCCCTATGAATGGAATACTCTGAACATAAGATTGTTAACCCACGTCAAACTAAAGTAAAATGTTGTAAGATTGAAATTGTATATGTTTTTGGCTAGTTTTTAACCCACGTCAAACTGAAGTAAAATGTTGCAGGATTGAAATTGTACATGTTTTTAGTTAGTTTTTAACCCACGTCAAACTAAAGTAAAATGTTGTAAGATTGAAATTGTATTTTTTGTTATCAAAACTTTTCTTATTGATCAGGTCTTTAGAACAAAAATGTTCTGAATTTAAAATATTTAACCGAATAAATTTGCTTTTCTTACAACTAGAAGAAGCAACGGAGTCACAAAGTCAGAACAGTAATAGCAATTAAATTTGTTCTTTTCTTGTTTAGTTTGCATTGAAACGTTCAAGGCTTAAAGTTTGAATAGACTGTATTTAAAACCCTCCATTTAAATTTGTCCAATTCACAACGGTACCCTTAAAGGCTTTGTCAGATCAAGAATGTATGAAATATTCATTATCTCATGATTGAAATTTGGAAACAACTAATTTTTGTTATTCTAGATAGACAATTTTTTTTATTTTTTCAATCCAATTAAGAATGAAAAAAACGTTAACATGCAATGTAATCGGGTGTAATATATTTAATTAACAAATTTTTATTTTGCTGGAAAAGGAAGTTGTTGATAAAAGCTGAAAATGTCTTCTATTTCCATATCATCATTTGATGAATCGTTTCTTCATGAATTTTATCCATATCTTGGCCGCCATTGTTTCCCTTCCAACCTTGCTGGTCGTCTTTTCTTCCTGCGTCGTCTTTGTTTTTCTCCAAAGCATCATCTCCTTTATGAGTGTGTGTATAGGCAAATGCGCTTCCAACTATAGCAGAAGTCGCCTTTAGTCCGGTCTAAAATAATATAGTTAATGGAACTGCTAACGTAATCTTGAATGACCACGCATTAATAAGATACATGTCTGATTCACAATGCTGTACCCTTTTCCCCGTAAATTAAGCAACAATGAGGCAAATATCGAAGTTTGTATACCTGGATATGCTAAAATTTGTCTAATTTGTTTCGAAATCTCGGCCGTATAAATCGAAAGTTACCACAAATTGAACTACAATTCAAAATAATAAATTTTACAAAAATAATACATGTTATCCTCATCAGTTTTGCAAAGAAAACGGTTTAAATAGAACTAATATACGGACAAGAAAATTATTTCTGTGGAGGATCACTTAAAATTCTATGGACAGTCCCTTAAAGGATAAAAAAATTCAATTCCTTCAAGTGCATAATTTAATGCAATCCATGCCATTTAGGTGCATACAGAAACCCCTAAATAAGCCATACGTCGAAATAATTCATCAAATGTCGTATTCTTCACTTTCTGACAATGGAATGTTGCAGATATTTAGTTAATGATTATATGGAGCTCTTTAAAAATGTTCACGCATATTCATAGCTATTTATTTATTTTCGCAAATACTGAGATTTACGTAAAATAGTAAAAACCCCATTGAAAAATTGTCGAGGCGACATTTGATAAATTCTTTCGAATAAGTTTACTCCTCTAAATTAGGTCACCGACCCCCCCCCCCTTCCTTGCACCTTATTTTTGTTTCGTTTTTAAGCATTCAATTTTTTTTACTTTCTTTCGTAATTGTTTGATTTTAATCCATTGTGCAACATCTCTGCCTTTCTATAAAATGTTGGTCAAATGATTTATCAAAAATGCCTGAGTAAAACATTAAATAATGTAATAAAATAAACTTTAAAAGAGCACAATTTTGAATCAACTACATTTGCTTTTTAAAACAGTTTTTATTCGATTGTAGTTAATGACTTGCGCATGGCCCTCTTTAATCGGTGATTTACTTAAAATAACAAGGAGAGTCCAATTTAATATTTAAAAACTAAAAAACTATGCCCAATGCACATCTCTATCTAGAGTAAAACATGCATCACCTTGGCAACAAACAAAATCCAGTTTAACATTAAAACCATTCAGGGACTATAAGCGTAATTTTAAGTGTCCACCTTTGCCAAGATGGCAATGCCTGAATTACAAAAACGGTGCCTTAAAACCAATTAATCTGATCAAAAATGTGGAAGATGCCGTCGGCTTTCTGACTCGATAACTGTTTTTTTTCTGCGAGTTTCTCCATTGCTTCTTACCAACAAAAAATGCATTGCGCAAGCAACTTTAGCAAAGAACCCGCAAATGAAAATAAACAATCAAAATCAAAACAAAAACATTGATATCTATTTATACTTGATCAGACAAAGCTTTCTGTAAAACAACTAACTCTATGCTTACCTTCAAGTAGTACGGCATTTTCGTATAAAGCAATAGGTACAGCTGTAACCTTGAATAAGCATAGCGTCATAATCTTACAGGGTGTCTAACAATACAATGAGAGACGAATTTACAGCTATACCAAAGGAAGTAGAACAAGGACAAAGTAGAAAATATGATGAAAAGGGCAAAGGAAGTAGAAAATATGATGTTGGATCATGGATGTTATGATTTTAGAAATGCAAGGTTTAAAAGATTTGATTGAAAAAAAGCAAACTGTTGTATGACACCATTCAACTATTAAAGACGAGCATTTTATCGTATTTGTAATTTTTATTTTGGTGAAACATCCTGTATTTTTAAACTCTTCAAATACATAATATTTTTATTTTAATAATCTTCTGAAATTTGATCAAATCTATTCAATAAATGAAATCATAAAATCTTTGCAATTCTTTGAAATTGATTGAAAAATATTCCTAATTCAAATTCTATAAAAACTGAAAATAAAACTTTTGCTTGTTCAAACTCAACTAATTTCTTCATGTAAAAAACTTATAATAGTCGAGTTTTAAGAGAGTTTTGAAGAATCTAGATATAACTGGTATACAGATGGTATTCAGGGAATCCCACTAAACACAAGTGCAATGACAAACAAAAGTCGTCATTTTCTACCTTTATTGCAAATTTAATGAGCCTACAAAGACGACTCATTTTTAAATTACCAATAAAAAAACAAAATAAATAATATGTGCACAGTTTGTACCGCCAGCCATGACCATCGTGATAAGATTTAAAGATTTTTAAAAGGCTATGTCATGACTATTTGTGGGACATACAAAGGTTGACTTTAGAACTTCCCAAGTTTAGTCTATACGTTTACTTTGTATGTTGAAAAATGACAAAGATATCATGAATATTCAGTTTGTATCTTTAAATGCATTACACCAACTGTGACTTTGTTCTCCATGTTATTAAAAACTAGAAAAATAAAATTATCTTACTGTATATTTTGATGCGGGAAAGTCCAGCTGTCTTTGTGTAGTTCACAGAGGTCATAGAAAGTGTGTAGGAGTGAAAAGTTAATATCTGTCTGCCCCTAGAGTCAGACTGTAACTGAGCAGTCTGCAGTGAGCAGTGACTTGAGCAGCCGGTTGGTTTACTTGCCAGAAATCAGCTGATTATCATAACAGTGACCACCTTATCACGTGACAATCTGCCCAGTTTGCTGTTGAACTGAAATAGGAAGCATTATCCGCACCTTGTCACTTTTTTGCCCCCCCCCCCCTCCAACCCATCTGTCCCCCCCTTGAACAGTTACCAAGCGAAGTAAAAAATGTTAAAGTAATGAATACAAAAAACTGTATGGCATTTGTTGTGGCTTTAAATTTGTTTATAATATATTATGCATGGCCTAAAAAATTTGAATCTTCTTATCTTTTTTCTAGAAGATCAGATTTTCCTTAAACTGTGGAATGAAAATATGACCTAATTATTTTAGTTCCATAACTATATGTAATACAGCACACACAGTATACATTCAATAATACAGGGTGTCCCAATAAACATGGGAATTCAGTGACGAATTACAGCTTTTTTAGTAGGTATCACTATACAAATTAAAGAGACGATATCTAATTCGTCACTGAATTCCCATGTTTTTTGGGACACCCTGTACAATTTAGACAGCTCGAGATGTTTCCGATTAGGAACAAACATCGCGATTTTAAAGGGACTGTAAACGTAATTTCTAGTTACCGACCATTCAGAGATTACAATGCCCGATTTACGACGGTACACTTAAAAGCTTTATCTGATTAAGTAGCATAACGATGCAAAAACGAACGCTTTGTAACGATCTTTTTAGGATTGTTTTTTCACTTCCTATTTCTAGATAGAAAATATTCCAAAGTTTAATAAGACAGTTATGAAATATTTTTCTTTAAAGTATCCAAAACCATTAAAAACACTACCCCCTCCCACTTCCCTATCCATTTCCCCAAACATGTCCAAGAATGTATAAAAGAATGAGAAGAAAATTGATTTAAGAACAATATGCAAAAAGTGGAAAGTTGAAAAAGAATTGGAAATGGGAAATAGATAAAGTTTATAAAATTGAAGTAAGTTTTAAAAATATGGTAAATAAAGGAGGAAGGAGAAAGTAATAACAGAATGGAAAATGGAAAAAGGAAAGAAAAGAATAAGAAACGCGGAGGAAAGAGGATGAGGAGAATGGAGAGAGATAAAGAAGGAGAAAATAAATAATAGAAAAATGGGAATAGAAGAAGATTTTCTAAAAAAATTTCTTGGAAAATGAAACCTTAAAATTAACACTATTTTGACTTAAATCCGGAGTTCTTAAATATTCTGGTTATATCTTGATAAAACTGGAAGAAACTGGATACCTTGATCTGGTTATCTCTTGAATCATGGATGCAAATATGCATTTTTGCACTCTTGTCTTGTTAAATAAAATGCAGCAGATGTTGCATTTTATAGTGCAGAATCAGCTATTGAAGAGTTGCATTAAAGCATAAAAAACATTGATTGCAATCCTAACCATTAGGCTTTTTCTTAAGAAAAGTTCTATGTTGTGATTTCAACTTTGTAATTACATCTTTAATTAGATTCTATAGGTTATTGGAAATCCTGAATCTGGGAGTTTATTTCACAAGAGTTTAAATGGTGTATAAAAATAAATGTTTTTACATTCATTAGAAAATATTTAGATATCTTTTTTTTCAAATTATATTCATTGGAAATTCCAAAAATGTTGACAAAGACCTGATATTAAAAATTATGTTTGGGATTTTGTTTTCCGTTTTGTTTACAGTGGATTTACATCAAGTTTAAAAAACATATTTTTTGGAGAATATTTCTTTAATCTCTGATCCTCCAAAAACATTTCCAGGACTGAATTTAATGAATAATGAAGTTCCTATACTGATTCAAAGTTTCAAATATTGGGAAGAAGTCAGATGTGTTCAAAATAATAAAAATAAAATTATGCAAAATTTTAACCCTGACCGGCACTAGATGGCAAAAACGAAGTAAAAAATTATGCAAAACAAACGTATTCTAACGATCATTCCAGACTCGATTTCCTTATTTAGGATAAAAATGACGCAAGGTTTAATAAAGGCAAATTTGAAATGTTGGAAGTATTATTAAAAGTTTTTAAAAAAAGATTAACAACACTAGAGAGGTCTAGGAAGTTCATTAACAACACTAGAGAGGTCTAGGTAGTTCATTAACACCACTAGAGAGGTCTAGGTAGTTCAGTTAACAACACTATAGAGGTCTAGGTACTTTAGTTAACAAAACTAGAGAGGTCTAGGTAGTTCAGTTAACAACACTAGAGAGGTCTAGGTAGTTTAGTTAACAACACTAGAGAGGTCTAGGTAGTTTAGTTAACAACACTAGAGAGTTCTAGGTAGTTCATTAACAACACTAGAGAGGTCTAGGTAGTTCAGTTAACAACACTAGAATGGTCTAGGTAGTTCATTAACAACACTAGAGAGGTCTATATAGTTTAGTTAACAACACTAGAGATGTCTAGGTAGTTTATTAACAACACTAGAGAGGTCTAGGTAGTTCATTAACAACACTAGAGAGGTCTAGGTAGTTCATTAACAACACTAGAGAGGTCTAGGTAGTTCAGTTAACAACACTAGAGAGCTCTAGGTAGTTCATTAACAACACTAGAGAGGTCTAGGTAGTTCATTAACAACACTAGAAAGGTCTAGGTAGTTCAGTTAACAACACTAGAGAGGTCTAGGTAGTTCAGTTAACAAAACTAGAGAGGTCTAGGTAGTTCAGTTAACAACACTAAAGAGGTCTAGGTAGTTCAGTTAACAACACTAGAGAGGTCTAGGTAGTTCAGTTAACAACGCCAGAGAGGTCTAGGTAGTTCATTAACAACACTAGAGAGGTCTAGGTAATTTATTTAACAACAGTAGAGAGGTCTAGGTAGTTCCGTTATCAACACTAGAGAGGTCTAGGTAGTTCAATGACCTCTTCAATTAATTTAAATCGCTCTCTGGGAGTTTAATCGATTTAGTCATTTATTGAAATTATAGAATACAAACAAACAAATTATCAAGGAACAGTAGCGTATTCAGGTGGAGGTAGGGATGAGCATAATTTTCAAAAACGATCGGAAAAACTAACTTTTTTTCATCTCTTTCAAAAACGATCGTTATCAAAACGATTGTTTCATTCTCAGATATTTTCTCATTGTTAACGAAAAGAAATAAACGTTTTTCAAAAAAGTCAAAGCTGTCCATCCCTAGGTGGAGGGAGGGGGCACCTATATACTCCCTTGGGACTTCAGTTTGTTAAACTGCCATGGGGGAAATATTTTATTCTCTTTTAGAGCAAAATACCCCCCCCCCCCCCACCACCACCCCTACTTCAAATCCTGAATACACGCCTGGTAAGAAACTAACAGACAAACAGAAAAGGCAAATAAAAAGATTATCCAATATCTTTACAGTTCACATAAAGTTAAAACTAACTCATCGGAGTGCATCTGGTTTGTGTCAGAATATTTTGATCTATTATTCAAAATTCGAAAAAATAGGCTTTTTATGATTAAATACAGTGAATCCCAGATATATGAATACATAGCAAGAGTTTTTAAAAATGTCGTATTAGATATTTAAGATCAAATGCCGCGGAAAAATGAGTTTAAAATTAATATATCAATTGCATTCATATTTCAGGGCTATTATTAATTTACCTTGAATTAAAAATAAAAAGAAGTTTCTTTAGAATTATCAAAAAACTTATGACGCTCTATGTATTCATGATATCTGGGATTCACTGTATTTAAAATAAAAAAGTATTAAATATCAAAAACGATAAATTTACATTTAACGGGTAAAAAATGGATTAAAAGTGTATGGACTCACTGGATTTTTAATCAGAACCTCTAGTTTACCGTCAGATTATTTATCAGGGGAGTAAGGTTTCATTCTAAATAGAAACGGTAAAACTTTGTGATTCTTTCCTTTCTGGAAACCTAATAAAGTCGGACTTGGGAAAAATTAGATTATGGCTCCTTTTACACAAATTGGAAATGTTCAAAAAAAAACTTTGTTGATTTGTTTTTTTATCTAAAACTTTACATTTATAAAAAAAATCTTCCGAAAAGATACTTAAAATTTCTCAAGAATAGTTTTTCCTCAAATAATCTTTAAACAAAGAATTGTTTAGAAATAAAGTAAGTGTCGGCTGTGTCGCACAATTTCTATAATTTTTGTTTATATTTTACCTTCTAAAATTGCTGAACCATAAACAGTAAAATTCTCAGGATTATATAAAAATATACAATTACTCTTCTATCCTCACAGCTGACCATGAACCTAAGTGTTGAGTTACGTACAAACTGTTCTCTGAAGATCCCCCCCTCCTAAATACATTACATTCAACAAACCAAGTAACTCCAAAGAGGAACTAACAGAACATATAGCGACAAATAATAAGTCATAAAAAAATGTCAACAAATTAAATATTTGTAGTTAATATCCGTACAGTCTAAGTTATACATAATGTTGATTCCTTGGAAGATATTCCATGATCAGAATGTTCAGACTCAATCCTGCCAACCCAAACAGAAACCATCCCACGGGACAGCCCTCTATCGAAACCTCTGCGTAGATAAATATATGACGCAAAAATGACGTCACTAGAGAACCATCATCTGATAATTATTTCAAACAAAGAAGGAGCTATAAAGGTTGCAACCTTATATTGACATTTAAAACTTAAACGAATTGTTTTGTAGGAGAGTTCATCTATATATGCTTTGCTTGTCTGTCTGTCTGTTTGTATCCAATACAAAGGAATTGAGTTTCTTAAAAAAATAGAAATCAAAGGAAAAGGAAAGGTTTAAGGAAAGGAAAAGAAAAGTTACATATATTTATTGTTTACATTATATTTAATATAAACTGGTGGTGGATTGTTAGTATTTTTTGATGATGAACTAACAACTTTGAAATTTCAAAAAGAAAATTTAAAATAGGCTTTATGGGTTGTAAAAAAATATATAGGTTCTACGCAAAACAGGCATTTTTAACCATTTTTTTCATTTGCGCCGATTTTTTACATCCTTTAAGTTTGATTATATCTTTTACTCTTTTTAATCTTTTTAGTCTTTTCTTTGTAAAATCGTCTTTGCTTTCTTCTATTCTTTTGCAAACATAGCATGTGTTAGAATTAAAACAGTTGTTCTGCTAATAAAAAATATAGTGTAGAAACTAAGAACGGACCAAAATAAACAAACTGAGATATATATTGAAGTCTAAGTTTAAGGCATATCAAATATATTTGGTTTGGTTAGTTGAGCTTCCTGACTGGAAGATGATATCTGCGGATCTCAACAGGGGTTCCCCCAGCATCGAGGTGATGAACTTGATGAGGAACTCGATGCTTATTTCGAACTTCTCTTCAACAGTTTCGATGAACTAGGAGAGGAGTAGACTGCTCAGGTGAGAATCAAACTTGCTTCTTCATCCTCGTGGCTCTCTTGAGAGGTATTAGAGAAGTTGGAGTCAATGGAGCCGAAGTCAACGGAGTCAGAGTCAACGGAGATAGAGTCAACGGAGCTGTAGCCAACGTAGGTCTTCCATGTTGGGGAGGTTGTTGAGAGATTAAAGGTTGATCAGAGAAAACAGGTGCTATAACTAGGGTAGGGTAACGTTACAATGTGCCGACGAAACTGACCAACGCAAGAAAAACTCCAGGTGATCAGTTTAAAACGAATGGTCACTTCAACCGTTCAACGGACTATAGTTAACATACGAAATTTTAAAAATACTAACATACAACCCCAGCCCTAGTTGCTAGCCGAACACTGTAAGGGTGTACGCGCGTTTTTGCAAAAGAAAGTGTCAGTGTCCGGGGTATTTAGAAAGAAAAAAATTCCCTAAATGCGGATACTAAAAAATATAAAATAATAATTATTTCTGACACCCCTAGACAGAGTAATACTTTGTAATTAACCAAAATATTACAACACTTCAGTTATCAATGAGGGAAATATTTTTATTTTCAAATATCCCAGGGAAAGTTTTGAAACATTTTTAGACTTATATTCTTTTATTTCACATTTTTTTACACATCTCATTTGTAGAGTTTTACACATCTCATTTGTATGAAAAATATCATCTTGCTTTATATATGAATTTAATAAACAGTTAACTAAAAAGACTTCAGAGACAATTTTACCACAAAACCGGCTTATTTCTGTTCTTTGTCATTTAATAAGCCATTGATCATAACAAATTGGTCCCTAAAACTAAAATTAAGCTGCAAATTGTCATATTTTTAGAATCATGGGTCGTCTTTACAGTCTGATCCTTTGTGGGTAACCCTGTACATATATGAATACCCAATGATGTTTAAGAAAAAAATTCTGTTTAGTCTGTGTAATAATCTAAAACTAAATCGGGTTTCAACGAAAAATTTGATGCATGAATTTATTCCTAATATTGAAATTATAGGAAAAAAATTTCAGTTCAATGAGAATCTCATCTTTAAGAAGTTGAAAGGTTTTAAAAATCAAATTTTCAAGAACCTTTTAATAAAGATTAAAATAGAAGAAGTTGCTTTTAAAAATTAAGTACGTTGATGAATATGATTTTCAAATTCCATTTACTTTTATCTTTACGTTGGGAATCTTTGTAGCAGACTAATCGACACCTTAAATGGATCGAACACGCAATTTTAAGTGGCCCTCCGTACGACACCTTAAACTAACCGTACGCATAATTTCAAGTGACCCTCCATTCGACACCTTAAATGGATCGTACACGTAATTTCAAGTGACCCTCCATTCGACACCTTAAATGGATCGCACACGTAATTTCAAGTAACCCTTCATTCGACACCTTAAATGGCTCGTAGGCTTAATTTCAAGTGACCCTCCATTCGACACCTTAAATGGCTCGTAGGCTTAATTTCAAGTAACCCTTCATTCGACACCTTAAATGGCTCGCAGGCTTAATTTCAAGTAACCCTCTCGGGCTCCATGCAAAGGTGCCAATGCCAGATTAACAACAGGACCCTTAAAGCTTATTTTGATCAAGACTAAATTATATATCAATGTTTACAATTTGGAAAACTGGTTATTTTCAATTGTGGGTTTTCTATAACAGTGTCTTGTGCATTTAGTTTTCAGGAAAACATTTAGAAATTCTTGGATCTTAACACTTTTGAGTCTAGAAAATCGACAACTTCATCCACATTATTGAACAGATGAAAGTTCCAGGGTATCAGGTATTGCCATCTTAGTACAGAGGATCACTTGAAATTACGCATATACAGTCCCTTTAACTAAATTCACATCAAAAGTTAACAACAGCTGACTTTCAGTTTCCAGATCTTTTATTGGTCGAGAGACGAACTGGCTTCTAATTGGTCGGATCGTTAAAATATCAATTAGTAATTAAATATAAGAGGAAAGAACAGGAAAGAACAGGAAAGAACAGGAAAGACGAGGAAGGAAGGGAAAGGAAAGAAGAGGAAAGAAGAGGTTTGAAGAGGAAAAAAAAGGGGGGCGGAAATCTTTTTTTCACAATATTAAGTGAAAACAAAACATTTTTATATTTATTTGTCAAAATTCATAAATATTCCCAAGTTTGTAAGTACGTAATATAATCAGTTTGTTATATATATAATGATACAATTAATAGAAACGAACAAGTACTTTTATTTAAAGAAATGGCATAAAATTAGAATATGAAGATTTCCACATAAGTATTGGGACATGTTGGCCTCGCTCTTAGAACCTAAAAAACATGGTAAATGTGGTAAATTTGTGGGTAATTTGTTGTAAATATGGTAAATTTGTGGGTAATTTGTTGTAAATATGGTAAATTTGAGGCAATGTGGTAAAATCTGTTTTATCTTAATTTTAAAGCTTCTGTCATACGCATTATTTATACATTCCTAATTTTAGAAATTAAGTGTAAAATGTATTGAATTTCTGAATCGACAGTAAGCATTTTTTAAAGCATGTTTATCGAAATATTTTATAACTATTTACTGTGAACATTTTGAGAAGAGTTCCTTTCTTCTAACGTTGTTTTATATTTAAACAGGTCTTAGAAATAAATATTCGAGTCCAGAAAATTTAAAATTTAAATTTTTTTCCAAAATTTAATTTTCAGATTTTTTTGGTACGCTCGGTTTGCATAGCATTTTTCAGCTATATTTTAAAATGCCCTAGCTACAAAAAATGTGAAATCAAAGTTAGGTACGTTGAGACTAGAGGGGTTTAACAATGATGTATTTTTCCCCCTTCAAAACTATATATAAAACTATAAACTTAAAGAACACTGTTCTTGTGGAAAGAATTGAGCTTGACATCATCATCCAATTGTAAATTTTGAAATCTAATTTTTAAAAGGTCTTTCAACTGAGTTTCCAATATCCAGTTTTCCTATAAAAAATGTTCTATACAAGGAAAGCTAAACAACATGAAAGAAAAACATTTCTTCTATTACAACAAGCTTCAAAAAAGTCATCTCGTCAGAAAAAAAAATTTCTGTTCTCTTTGATATTTAAATATTTATTTTTTAGAGCTTCTTGAGTCATGAATCATCTTTGTATAACTCGCCTCAAACTTTAATTTTCTAATCATAACATTTTTGCAACCTTTTGTCGTAGACCTCTTGCATTTCAAATTATAAATTTTCCAGATTAAATAGTCAAAGTTCAAAAAATCAAAAATATCGGAGTTTACATGACGAGTACACATTTAATTTGTTTCGCGCTATTGCGATTGCACGATCAATCTACGGACAGACATATCTTTACTTTAATTTTCTATTATAAGCAAAATATTAAAAATTTGTAGGTTCAGTTGGTTAAAAAAGACGAAGTAAGTGCGTTTATTCTGACACAAAAATTCTTTTCCAGAATAAAATTATTTTTCCTTTTTATAAATTTCGTTAAACTTTGGATATTTTCTAATGAAACATATAAAAAACAAGTTTAAATTAGATTATTAGTCCGTACAAAATTAATTTATGAAATCTAGAATATCGGCAGAACTGAAAAGGACTGTACTGCGTAATCATAAGTGACCCTCCATGAAAAGATGCAATGCTTGATTCACAACGGTACCCTTGAACCTTTATCTTATCAACAATGTTGAAGATATTGTCATTTTTCATGGGTTAAAAGTGTAATTTAATTCAGATAATTCCGATATCATTTTTTAGCCATTTTAGTAGAGAAGCCACAGTCAAAAATAATTAGTTTGCAAAGTTAGAAACATAAATCTAATTTATACTTGATCAGACATAGCTCTTAAGGGTACCGTTGTGAATTGAGCGTTGCCATTTTGCACAGAGTTTCACTTGAATTACGCTAATGAAGTCCTCTTAATCAACATGGGTTTAAATTGACTCAAGGTGAAAAGGTAGAAAATACAAAGTTTATCGTGCACAGTCCTTGATGCCAATATATTCTTAGGGGAGATAAGTTACTTTCCACGAATAGGGCTTTTCTCATCCTCATTGTATGTGGCAGGCCCTGCAAACAAAAATGGCTGAAAAAAGCTCCATGGCAGTGAAAAGTAAAGGAAAGGGTTTGATGTCATTCAATCGATGGAAAATGCGCCAAAAATATTGTAATAAAATAATTACGTTTGCGTAATTTTATGTTTGGGCATTTTCTTGTTAATCTATATTGTTAGTTTGTATTCGTGTTTTTTCTTAACTCTATTTTTTTGGAAAATTTCCAAAACTTGATTTTCCAAGAGAATTTTTGCTAGTTTTTAACATTTCTTTAGAAAATATAAAATTCTAAATTCTTTTCATCTTTCTGTGTGCTGACTGCTGAGATGCTGACCAAAATATATGTAAAATTGGTAGAATTTTAAGGGACCGTGAGAGGAGAAAGTTAAATTGATTATTTTCAATTGTGATTTCTAGACAAAATTACTTGCGCATTTCTACTACAGAAAAGCATTTAACAAATCATCAGAACTAAACACTTAGACCAAGAAAAGCGACATTATTGATCAGATTAAGGTTTCAAGGGTTCCATTTTGAATCGGGCATTTTCACCTTTCCATGGAAGGTTTCTTAAAATTACGTTTTCAGTCCATTTTCACTTAAAATATTTTACAACCTTACATATATTTTAGTCCAGAAAGCAAAAATATTGCAGATCCAACGGATCCGGATCTGACTCATAACCCTTTTGTTTCAGAGCGGATCCAGGATCAGGACCCAGATACGTATAAAAATTAGAAGGATCCTAAAAGCACTGGATTAAGGACGAGACTAGGCTTTACAGAAGTTGTAACTTCTTTTACAAATGATTTACTGCAGCAGTAAACATATTTTCTTAATCAGCTGTGGAATTTTTCTTTTTTGCTAAATTATCAGCTGTGGAATGCTTAACCCCAGAAAGGCTGGGGGTCTAAACCTATGTATACTTTGGGGGGGGGCGTCCCACTCCCCCCCCCCTGGGAAAAGGCCTGAGAGAACAGGTAAAGGTTGCAAAAAATAGCATTAAAAAAAATGTTTTTTACAAAAAATCCTTAAAATTTCTATTCATTAAACTATCAAAATTTCACATTATAGTGTGAAAAATGAGAGTGCTAGGACTTAAAAAAAAACAATATGGGGTTAAATAAAGGCTTTGCCACAAACGTAACTCAAATTTTTAATCCCTGTATATGCAACCCGATGCCATAGATATCTAATATTTCAAACTTTATGGGTAACCCTGATGTTAGCATTTATGTACACTGTATAATTCAACAATCATTTTTCAGGCCAAAACTCATTTTCTTCAAATTATTTTCCTCTCCTATTCTAAATTTTTTTCATATCGTGAGAAATACTTGCAAAAAGTGTCACGAAAAGGGTTAAAGATCTTGCTGCTTTAGTCTAATTTTTTTATTTCTCAATAATATATATATATATATATAATAAAACAAGACATTCGTATATATATGTTGCCTTTAGCCGACCAAACGACTGGACCGATTGGGCTGACATTTATTTTGAACCCTCATGGGTGGCCGGGGGGTGTAATAGGCTCAAAACATCGTTACAACTTTTTTTCATTTTTTTCAGCTAGTATGTAATAAATTCTTTAAAAATATTAATACCTCCATAAAAATTGCATAATCTTAGTAACAAGTAACTAAGATTGCAACCATTCTGAAAACGTATTGAGGCTTTATATTCATAGCAATTCAATTCGATGCACTTATAAAGTCTGAAAATACACATTAAAAATGTTTTTTCTGAAGGAAAATGTTTATTTTTTCTGCCTAAAGAAGGTGGTAGATTTTGAGCCCCTGTAATAGTTTTGCATAATGCAATAAAAACAAACTTATTTGAAAAGTTTAAAAAAATAAAATTCTTATGAAGCCTCTAAAAACTCTATAAATGTTACCTACAGACTATTTTTCAATAACATTTTTCCGCGTAAATAAGCAAGATTGTAAACAGTGTTTCATGTAAAAAATAAAAATATACACCAGTCTTGATTGGTGCAGTACACTATACAACACAACACAGTACGTACAGTACGGTATAACACAGTACAATACAGTGCAATACGGTACAGTACAATACAGCAAAGTAAGTACAATACGGTACAGTACTGTACAGTACAGTATAGTACATTAAAGTAAATGATACATACAAAAGATCTTGAAACCAATTACTTCTCTTTGAATAATCCAAACTTTCAGCCTCTTGTTAAAAATACAACATTTAAAGGACCTTTCGTTGTTTTTTTAGTGACCCTCCAATCAAAGAGGGATTTGTTCGATTCACAACGATATACTATCCTTTAGAAAACAATTTTATCAATAATGTGGTAAACAACGTCGATTTTCGTCTTGATTTTGATAATTTCTTCATTGTTTCTGAAGCAGGAAATGCGCAAGTCACTTTTATTGAAAAACCACAAATAATAAGAAAAAGCTTTTGAAAAAACCTGACTATCTAATTTATTTTTTATCCGACACACCTTTTAACAGTACCATTGTGAATCAGACATGCTACTCTTTCATTTAGAGGATCACTTGAAAATACGTTAATTCAAAATTAACAATGAGATTTAATAAATTATTTTATTCAACCAGTCGCATGGCTGATTTAAGATGAATTCAGAACAAGAGAAGGATTAAGGAAAGAGGCTTAGTGTCAAAATAAAACAAAAAATTTCTACGATTTTTTTTTCAACTAATATGTCAGTTGTTTGAACAGGTGTGTCTACTTTAAGGTTTATGTAGGGTTAGGTCTTGAACTATAGACCGAGATTAATTAATAACAATTAATAATCAATTATTAATCATCATTAATCAAAACAATTATGTAATTTTGTAAAAGGAGCAAATTTATTTGAAACAACACAAAGAATAATAATATTTAACACGGTGCACGCTAGAATTACGTTGAGTGAGGTGTGAGTAGTTCTATTAGTTTCTGATCGTCCAGACAGCAACGGACGAACTCCTGCCTTGTTACTCGTCCATCTACACATTAGAATCAAACGTTAAATGTTCGGCTGATGGGAATTTAACCCAGAAATAATTTATAACATGTCGTCTTCTTAACCTACCAATAATGGAATGCTGCAAACATTAAGTTTTTTAATTGTATGATTACATGGAGCTTTTTATGTTTTATTTTTTTTATTTTTACAGTTTCTGATATTTAAGAATTATAGTATATATAAACCCGATGAAAAATTGGCAAGACGACATTTTATAAATTCTTTCGATGGCTCCGAAGTTCTAAGTTAAACGCTATAATATATGAAAGTAAAAAAAAAATGTTGTTTTCTCTTTTTTTTCTATGAAGCATCTAATCCAATTATAATAGTATTTCTCCAAGTTTCTATCTTAAAAATGGAATTTTTCCATGAGTCAATTTGTAGTTCGACTGAATATTAATCTATACAACATATAATAATACAATACACACTTAAATATGCAAATTCATATTTATTCGTACTAGACTTGTTTTGCTTTTGTCTATTGCTCTGAAATTCTTTTTGTTTAGCGTTTTTAAATTTTCACGGATTTTTCTGTTTAATTTGACGCATTTTCAAAAATATAAAACTTAAGTCGACATTTTTTCCCACGCCAAAAAAAGCTGGATCTGATCGGCTCAGCCGTTTTGAAGTTTATTGCAGATACAGACAGAAAGACAGCAAACAAACTGAGACAAGTCCATGTTCAAGAGCGGGGACTGAGAGTGACAAATAGTTATGTAGGATTTTTAAATTTTGACAAATGGAGCGGAGAAAGATTTGAAAAATTGAGTTAAAATGTTTCTTTGTAGTGGTGTCAAGAGTTGAAGTCCGTGCTTATATTCCGTTTTATCAGTATCGTTGTCCCAGGGTGTCAACAACAACAAACAAAAACAATGCAAACACGCATTATTAGGATTTGAGAACTTTCAAGATCTTAAAAATAATTTATGTAAAACAATTATTAATCAGATTTTAAAAGTGTAAACAAATATTAACCTTTTGCAGGACACCCTGTATGTATACGAAATTTTACAATTTATTTCCATAACAATCATTAAAATAAGATTTAAAAATTAACTTTTCTGTGGACACCCTGGTTCAAAGAATTATAATGTAAAGATAGTTATTTCAGAGGTGTACGTATTTTTAGTACTGCAGTGTACTGATCTTGGTACTGTCTCTTACAATGATCGGTAAAGTAAGCACAAGACAGATGTCACAGCAAGGCGTCCACAGGCATTGCCCCTATATACAAGTAAAGGGGGGGGCGTAGCCGGACCCACTAGATCTCAGAGCTATAACACTTTCAAATCAATATCCAAGAAGCCAAATGTTTTGAATTTACAGTTCAGATTTTGCCCCCCCCCCCCTATAGGAGCTCCTAGGGTGGGGCAAAGATTTATTTCTGTGTACGCCCTTATGTCACAGCCTGACATGGGATTCATTTTCACAAAAAAAAATATATGAAATATTTTGGTCATAGGAAACATGTGAATTATCAAATTATCAAAATAAAATGATTTATCCTCCTCGGACACTAGAAGAACAACGATGCATCTATTCTTGTTCACAAATACCGTGCGCCAAAGAGAACTGGTTTCAATATGTACGCAGAAAATACGCAACAGCAAATAACCTTCCTTGTCTTATTACCTTGAATAGGTATGCGAATGATTTTAAAACTTGTCATAAATATACCCAAACTAAATTAATGGGAGGATAGAATACAAGGAAAGTATTGAGTAGGCTAAGGAGAAAATTTTTAGAAAAAAGTAAGAAAGTGAAAGAATCAAGGGAAATTAATTCTGGAAAGGTATTGAGTCTTTGCCATAGACTACGATATTCAAAACCTATTTATATACATTATGAAAGGTTTACACAATTAGATTGCAGAGATATATGGATTTGAAAATTTGAGTTTGTGGCAAAGACTCGCAAGCTTTCAACATCCCCCCCCTCTACTCCTCCTGAGTGGAAAACTATAAACTAAGCTGGAGAGCGTTGGAGCTTAAACTTTCTTTACTCTTAAAGGAATTGAAAAATAAAAAAATTCTTCAATGACAATTAATCTTTCGACTTTCTATGTTTTAAAGAATTTTTTTTTTCAAAAACTTCAAGTTCGGTATTTTTGTATTTTTCGCAAATATGTTTAAAAACTGTATCGTGAAAGTTACTCTGCATGTACACCCTCATGGTTACTGTACATTGTCATGTACAGACAGTACGCAAATAAATTTTTTACTTGTAAAATCCTTCAAAACATAATACATTTTGCTAATATGTTGGAGAAACACACATAAGTAAAATACATAATACCATGTTCTAAATAACTACCTAAACTAATGTACAGTATTGTATACTTGGTACATAATTTATACTAAATGTATACTACCATGTACTATATAACATCCTGAATTGATGTACAGTAGTGTGTACTGTGTACATAAGTAATGTATAATACTATGAACTAAATAGCCAACTGAATTAATGTCAATACTGTGTAACATGTGCTATGTAGATAAGTAATGTGTAACACCATGTACAAAATAACCACCTGAATTAGTATACAATATTGTGTACTATGTACATAAGTATGGTGTATAGTACCATGTACTAAATAATCACCTGAATTGATTTTCAATACTCTATACAATTTAATGGTGTATGTAGTATGTAAATGAGTAATATGTAATACTATTAGTAAGTAATTATAAACCTGAATTGATGTACAGTATTCGGTACTACATACATAAGTTATGTATATAAGGTACATAATACGATGTACTAAGTAAAAACCTAAATTGATGTACAGTATTATGTACAATCTATAGAAATAAGGAACATCATACCATAACTTGATACCTGGATTGATGTCCTATATTGTGTACATATATGTACCTTGTACATAAATAAGGTAAGAACCTGAATTGATGTACAGTACTATGTACAATGTACAGAAATAAAGAACGTGATACCTGGATTGATGTCCTATATTGTGTACATATATGTATCTTGAGGCTTGTACAAAAATAAAGTAAGAACATGAATTGATGTCCAATATTGTGTACATATATGTACCTTGTACATAAATAATGTAAGAACCTGAATTGATGTCCATTCTTCTAAAAATCCCTTCTGCTCTGCTCTCTGGGCTCTCTAGCGTATCCATGGCTCTCTGCTGAATAAGTTAAAGGGAGTGTGTGCGATATTTCATTTCAATCTTTTTCAATGTTGCAAAAGTCATAGAATATTATTAAATATCATATTCTTTACAGTAGGTATTAAATCTAATTACATTTACTGTACAAACATTGCACCCAATATCACATTACATATCAAAAATAATCATTATATGAATTATATTTTAAACAATTCCTTAGCTGACTAACACATAATTAACATTTTGCACACAGCAATTTAATACTTTTAAATCTGTGTCTATTTTTATCTAAAACTATGTCTAAATTAATTAGAAACAAATCTAAATTGTTTGCTGAACTGTCAAAGGTTAGGCTATCTAAAAAGAAATGAGTCTTTGTCACAAATTCTGATTTTCTTTATATTTGAAAATGTAAACTCAAAGTTGCACGTAGACCTGAGATATATCAAACTATGAATTATGTTCGATCAACTAATCTAAGTTTAAAATATCAAAGGTTTAAACCATCAAGTTGCAAAGATACAGGGATTAGAAAATTTAATTTTGTGGCAATTACTGAATTCCTTGGTATTAGTTATAAAAGAATGTTCTGAATTATCGCAAAATATCAAATTTGTCACCTGTTGAGGCCCCATCATGTTGTAGATACTTTTTACTAAAATAATCAGAACCAAGGGTTAATAAACAATAAAATAGAGCCACTCGTCTTCATTCAAGAAATACACTTCTTGGTTTCTCAATAAAAAGATTATAACTTTGTGCTTTGTTTTTATTATGTTTGAAAATAGATACTATGTTGGTTATAAATATAAATATAAATTTACAATATATTTGATTTTTTTAAAGATTGAAAGTTAGTTGTTTCATGTTTGCAGAATTATGTCTTTTCGTCGCATTAAAGCATATTAAGCATAGTAACGAGTATTTATGTTGATGACAAGAAATAATTATAATGAGATTTTATCATAGGTAAAATTCAGGGGAAAAAAGTTTAGAAATAGTTTTTAAAATAAATGTTCTTTGAAAAATTCCTACGATTTTAATCTCTGGAAATCAAACCCCAGCACCTTGTTACCAATGACTTAAGAAAATAAAAACGTTCTCTAAGTGTTTATTTCCAATTCTTTTTCATAAACTTTTTTGCAACTTTGATAGTATAGATCATCATAGTAAATGCAGTCTGACCCCCCCCTAACATATTTTTTATTCTCTTATAAAAAAAATACTGCTTATAGAATTTAAAGATTTAAATTTTATTGAGAATTCAATTCGAGAGAAATATTTAGTTCTCTCAACTCTCTCTCGGCTGTATAGTGTATAGTACACCAACTTTTGTAAGATGTCAAAATAAGCTAATTTTTCGACATGTCACGGATTTTAACCCTGACATGTGGGAATTAACATGTCAGTCTAGTCCAGCCAATCTTTGACTTTAATCTAAAAAAATGAAAAACTAAATAATTTAACTTTAGAAGCGCTTAAATATACTCAGTGAAACTGATTTTCTTTTTTAACGAATTGGATTTTAGTTAGTTTGATTTAAGTGAGAACCAGAAAATTCTGAAATAGAAAGACGACTTTTAGAATCAAGTTCTGACTTTAAAGATAGCCAAATAAACATGAAGCACAGCAAATGTGCAGTGTCAACAGACCCATTTCACTTATTAAGTGATTTAATAACTTAGTAGTATAACTATTTGCTTTGTAACAACTTCAAATAAACTTAAGTATTGCAATTGCAGTCTTCCTATTCCAATGTTTTTTGGTAATCATTTAGATTTAGTTTAATTTACCTTTAAAAAACTATAATTTCTCCTTTTTATTGTTGCTGATTTCCTTTTTTGGTTTAATTCGTTGCTATTTGGTTTGGTTTGGTCTAGTTTGGAGTTGTTGTATTTGTTTTTGTTTTTATTTTATTTGGTTTGGTTTGCTCTAGTAGTGATTTGTTTGATTTGTTTTTTTAGCTTGGTTTGCTCTGATTAAAATTTATTTATTATTAATTTTTTTTATTTGGTTTGGTTTGCTCTAGTTGTGATTTGTTTGTTTTGTTTATTCTATATGGTTTGTTTTGCTCAAGTTATGATTTTATTTTACTTTATTTGGTTTGCTTTGGTTGTGATTTGTTTGATTTGGTTTTATTTGATTTGGTTTGTTTGTTTAAATTGTTCATTTTATTTGGTTTGTTTGCTCTAGTTATGATTTGTTTAAATTGTTTATTTTATTAAGTTTGGTTTGCTCGAGTTGTGATATGTTTGATTTGTTTGATTTGCTATTAATTCATTTGGGTTGGTTTGCTTTAGTTATAATTTGTTTGATTTTTTTATCTCATTCTTTTTAGTTCGGTTTGCACTGGTTGTGATTTGTTATATTTGTTTTCATTTTATTTGGTTTGGTTTGCACTAGTTGTGATATGTCTGATTTGTTTTCATTTTATTTGGTTTGGTTTGCTTTAGTTGTGATTTGTTTGATTTGTTTTCATTTTATTTGGTTTGGTTTGCTCTAGATGTGATTTGTTTGATTTGTTTTCATTTTATTTGGTTTGGTTTGCTCTAGTTGTGATTTGTTTGATTTGTTTTCATTTTATTTGGTTTGGTTTGCTCTAGTTGTGATTTCTTTGATTTGTTTTCATTTTATTTGGTTTGGTTTGCTCTAAATGTGATTTGTTAGATTTGTTTTCATTTTATTTGGTTTGGTTAGCACTGGTTTTTATTTGTTTTCATTTTATTTGGTTTGGTTTGTTAGATTTGTTTTCATTTTATTTGGTTTGGTTAGCAATGGATTTTATTTGTTTTCATTTTATTTGGTTTGGTTTGATTCCTATTTTTGTCATTTCCGGGAGATCTATCCAGCCATTTCCATCCACATCATACATACTAAAATATACATTAATATAAAATCAAATAAACATTATTATTCTTTTATCGATTTATTACTTGAATTTACTCAATTTTATAATCCTGATATCTTTGCAATCTGATGGTGTAAAACGTTCATAATTCAAGTATTATTTGATCTTTTTAAAATTTGAAATTGCTAAATTATTGTTTTACAGTTCTATTTGGGGTGGGAAGAATGGATGAGAAGGTAGAAGGAGAATGGATGGGAAGGTAGAAGCAGAATGGATGGGAAGGTAGAAGAAGAATGGATGGGAAGGTAGAAGGAGAATGGATGAGAAGGTAGAATGAGAATGGATGGGAATGTAGAATGAGAATGGATGAGAAGGTAGAAGGAGAATGGATGGGAAGGTAGAAGGAGATAGGATAGGAAGGTTAATGAAGGAGAAACGAATGGGAAGGTAGGAAAAGGAGAATGGATGGGAAGGTTGAAGAAGGAGAATGGATGGGAAGGTTGAAAAAAGGAGAATGGATGGGAAGAAAAAGACATGTTTAATTAATTTGTAATGGAAGATTGGTGATAAATCCGATATATTGAACATATTTCCAATATGCAATAAATTTTATATCAAAAGGGCAGATTTTAATTAACTGTTTAATGTTTAATACTTTTTACAGGAATGTTTCAAATTCGCCTTTTTGTTGATATGAAGGCAGAAATGTCCAAGGAATGTGTATTTTTAACACTGGTTGAAAAAAATTTGAAAAAATTTCTCTGTTTCAACTCCCCCTCCCCCAAACTCCCCCCCAAACTCTTTCCCTCCCAACCAACTCCCAATCAACTCAGTATTCTTCAAAGAGAAATGTTATAGTTTGGATTTAAAGGGAAACTAGAATTTTTAATGATGTCATTACGTGCATTTATAATAGATTAGTCAGGTTTGTATTAGTTTAAAGGGAACATATGGCTCAGTTACGAAATTTTAGATTTTACCCAAACATCGAAACATTCAAGAAAATGAGTTTCATTATTTGAACGAAAAGTTCCGAACACAGTAAAATAATAATTAAATATCTTTAAAGGGACTGTGAAAGAAATTTCAGGTGAACCACCATCGTTAACTGACTGATCAAATGCACAAAGGTACCCTAGATAGCCTTGAATCGGATCAAGTATGAATTAGATAAAAATGAGTTTTGTATGTTAAAAGATAATTATTTTCATTTGTGGTTTCTCTACAAAAGTTCCTTTTACAATAACTATTTCTTTCTTCACAAACAAAGTAACAAAGTTGAAATTATCAGAATTAAACACTTTTTTCTGCCAGAAAAAATGCGTTTTTTTTCTACATTGGTGATCTCTGATTAAGAGTTTCAACTTTTCAAGTAAATTGCTAAATGCTCTGTTTAACGTGAAGGGTCACTTTACACTAGGACAACAATCCCTTTGAAATATTGTTTACCTGAACGCCCAGTTAAGTTTCTCTTCTGGGCTCCCGCTAGATGTCACATCAATCGCAAGCAGGAATTCCTATGTCAGCCATCTTTATTATTTACAAATCTAACGATCATTCTACGGGTTCCTTGACCAGAGGTTTGCAATTTTTTGTAAATATTTTTGTAAATCTTAGTAAAATGTAATAACTAAGAAACAATTAAAATATTTTGATGTCGCGTTGGAGCATATGCATGGAAAGTTAAAATTTGAGAAGAATTAACTAGAAGAATGTACGACTTATATGTTAAAGGATTCGATAATAAAATATTTACTGAAATGAAAATATGTTATGTAATTAGTAAAAATTAATGTTTCCCATTTTTGCATAATTTTGTCTATTTTTGTATATTATTGGTATGAAAGATCGTGCAAGTTCTTTAGAATCTTCAATAAGATGTAATCTATAAATTATAGTTTTCAAGATAGAAGCTTAAATGTCAGTTTTCCTCTCCGTGATTTGAAAAGAATGTGTCGCTGCTAAAATCTATTTGTTGAAAGAAAGCTGAGGTTTCTGTCTAAAGAGAACTAGAATTTGTGAAATGTGGCGAATTTGCAGTTGGACAAGTTTAAGATTTTTTAAAAAAGGAAACTCGAGCAGTGCCAGATGTAAACTCAGTATTTTTAAACGGAAATATAAAAATCTACCTCAATTATTTATTTTATTTTGTTAGTTTGAATTAGGTCTTAATAAAGTTTAGCCTACAGTCTCTTTAATAATTCTGAACTCTGTATTATATACCTTACTGCGTTCATTCAGAACAAATAGAATATTTTTAGAAATAAGTGTTAGTCAGGCTTTTTACTTGTTTTTCCTCTGCAATTTTAAATTTGTTTTGCAATGTGTTTAGAGTCCGTCTTGCATTCCTATGTTACCTACGCGAATTTTTCAAGTCCCGGTAATTTCAGAGTTTAGGGGGTTAAAACTGCTCAATCAAATATAGATAATAAAGATAAACTTATAATTTAGATTTGTGTTTCCATGTTTTAATTTCAAGTGACCCTCCATGCAAAGATGTCCAAGTGAAGCTGTACCCTTGAAACCTTTATCTCATCAATAATGTGGAAGATATTGTCGTGTTTCTTATTAAAAACTGTTTACTTCAAATATATGGCAGTGCCATCTTTGCTTGAAATTTCGCTTACAACCCCTTTAATATACATTTATTGAATCATAAAGATATTCCTTGAAGTCGATAAAACCATTCTTGTCGCTGTCAAATGTTCTGAAAACATGATCACAGAACTCATTTGCATTCCCAGTAGGGAAACATTTAGAGTAGATCTACACAAACACAGAAATCTTTCAATTTAAACTTTTAATAAGTATTTATTTTTTTAAGCAAAAAAAAGAAACCAATGTTCTTCCAAATGCTTCTCTTATTTCGAGTTCAGATATTTCATAAAAGATTAATTTAAAAAAATGAAATTCATCTGATCGATGAAGAAAAAACATAAATATTTGTTGTCCAGATAATTTCTGACATTTATTTATCCGCAGAATTAGTATTGGATTTCTCTCCTGCATGAAGGATATTGGTGTCAATTTTCCATCTGGACAATCTGCCATAAAACCTAAATATTTGCATAATTATATCTGCCATAAAACCTAAATATTTGCATAATTATATCTGCCATAAAACCTAAATATTTGCATAATTATATCTGCCATAAAACCTAAATATTACTTAATATATCTGCCATAAAACCTAAATATTTGCATAATTATATCTGCCATAAAACCTAAACATTTGCATAATTATATCTGCCATAAAACCTAAATATTTGCATAATTATATCTGCCATAAAACCTAAATATTTGCATAATTATATCTGCCATAAAACCTAAATATTTGCATAATTATATCTGCCATAAAACCTATATATTTGCATAATTATATCTGCCATAAAACCTAAATATTTGCATAATTATATCTGCCATAAAACCTATATATTTGCATAATTATATCTGCCATAAAACCTAAATATTTCCATAATTATATCTGCCATAAAACCTAAATATTTCCATAATTATATCTGCCATGAAACCTAAATATTACTTAATATATCTGCCATGAGACCTAAATATATACTTAATTTATCTGCCATCAGACCTAAATATATACTTAATATCTCTGCCATGAAACCTAAATATGTACTTAATATCTCTGCCATGAAACCTAAATATATACTTAATATATCTGCCATGAAACCTAAATATGTACTTAATATCTCTGCCATGAAACCTAAAAATATACTTAATACATCTGCCATGAAACCTAAATATATACTTAATATATCTGCCATGAAACCTAAATATATACTTAATATATCTGCCATGAAACCTAAATATATACTTAATATATATGCCATGAAACCTAAATATTACTTAATATTTCTCCCATGAAGAGAAATATTTTTCAAAGAATTCTAAAAAATAAATTTCCTAATTTCCCTGAATACGAGAAGTAATTGATGAACAAGAGAAAACCATTCACATATGTCAAAACATTTGTAGAAGCAGAATGGATGGGAAGGTAGAAGAAGAATGGATGGGAAGGTAGAAGGAGAATGGATGGTAAGGTAGAAGGAGAATGGATGGTAAGGTAGAAGGAAAATGGATGAGAAATCCCAACCCCCGCCCTCCTGCTCTTTCTCTATATTCTTCTTAGCTTATTAATCCTCTTCCAATTATAGATGGGCGTCGTTTTGCGGCTTCCTTTTAAATATTTATTTTTTACATTTAAAAGACTTTAAATATTAGATGATTCTTACAAAATTTGCTTTTTACGTTTGTTTTTATTACATCGTGCAACAACCTCATGCATAGAAAAATATGACCAAATTCTAAAATAGCGTATATATATACATATATATATAGAGAGAGAGAAAAACATAACGTTTGATACAATAAAACTTCATATCATGTTTTAAATGCTTATTTTCTTATATATATCATATATACATCGGAATTAAGTGACGATTTTTAAATGATTTGTGAATTTGTGTGATTGTAGTAATACAAGGAAAGCTTTAATCCGTAGATTGTTTAGTTTGCTAGAGAGTGAAGGATTTGTTTGTTTATATGTTTGCTTTCTTTTGTACTTAGTAAAATGAGAAATTCTGTATGCAAACAAAGAATAGTTCCTTTTGGCAAAAATATTTTACAATGTTTGCAGAATAACAGAACAACCTTTTACAAAGTTACATACTCTAGCTGGCGTAAATTTTTTGCAACCATTAAAATTATATTTAACAATTCCATCAAGTAGCCAACCCTGTGAAAACAAAAAAATAGAAATGATTAAAAACGATTTAAAAATTATCTCCATCTCTAGTAAAAAAAAACTCTCCTCCAACCTTCTTCTGCTATACACAGCTTTTTAGAGTTTGTTAACGATCGATCTATAGAAAACATAATAATGTTAATTTTAGACTAATTGTACGACAAATTACGACTGAATTTGAACAATAAAAGTTTAGAAATTAAAGTACAGTAATTTAACCAATCAAAAAAGTAACTAATGTTAAAAACGCAACAAAAAAGCGTATGCTGTAAGTAAAAATTAGGCTTTTTTATCCTCTCAAAAGTTTAAAATCATTTTTTTTAAAATTAATGTTTATAATTATAATAATTTGATAACAGGCTAATTGCTTTTCATATGAATAACTGACGTTCTTCTCTTTTCCNCCCCCCTCCCCTTCCTTCTGCCTTCTCTTTTCCACTATAGTTATAATAGAAGTAGATATTTCCATTTACTGATAGCGCCGATAGAAAGATTTATAATTCTAATTGGATAATGAGATAGATAGAAAGATAGATATTACCGCCGTACTATTTCTATTGGTTCAGAATAGACAACAAACACATGACCGAACCCTGATTGGATCAGGCGCTAATGGATTCGGCATATAGGAGTGTTTCCGAGCTTGTTAGAGTTGATTAATTATCAATCTTCAGGAAAATTTGTGAATGTTTATTTTTAACTTAATAGAAATAGATATATATACATAATAAAGAAAGCTTAAATAAATATAAGTAAAAAACAACAATTCCAAAACACGTGAAACTAGCATAAGGAAAGAATGTCCCGGGGATATAGGAACAAAATGAATTCAAATTTTAAACTAAAGTATAATGTGTAAAATTGAAATACTTAATGTTTTCCATCATAACTACTCTTATTGAAAACCTTTCGGGAAGAACAAAATTGTTTTAAATTTCTTATATACATATGTAAATAACCGAGTAAAGGAATTTAGTTTTTACAACAAACTTAAATTTCCAAATCGCTATATCTTTGCAACCTAATGGTGTAAAACTTGCATATTTCAAACTTGGATTGTTTGTTCTAATAGAATTCATAGTTTGATATTGCTAATATTTCGAAATGTTTAATACATTTCAAAGAATAATGTTTTTGCAGGAAACCTCCCTTTGATGTTTTCTATGCTGCTTCTATACTCTGTGCCCCTTCTAGGTGACATCTGAAGATCTTTTTGTTTATTTATTCTCGTAAAACAAGCGCCGGTCAGTTCTTTTCAGGTCTTAATATTAGGAGTAAACATGAACACCAGAAATCAAATAGAGACTTAAAAACAGGCATTGTTGGATGAATAATGGGACCCTTATAAGCTTAATCTAATTGAGTATTATTATTTTTAATTGAGAAAACAGAGCTAGCTGGGAATTCTCTTGTATTGTGGATATCGAGATATATATCAATATTTTGTTAATCTGCAGATTAAATTAATCTTTATTCTATATCTGGATTGGTAATCGTACCCAGTCAGAGGTTGAAAGAAGCTTTGATCTAAACTAAACATATGAAAAGGTATGTATTGTTCTCAAATTAGAAGTGCCCACAGTGAATATCGAGATCAAGGGATCAGGCTTTTGAGAAAAAGTGTCCAACTGTAAATATTTTCTTTTCTGGTTTCTCTACTGAAGTAAACAATAAACAACTTACAGGAGTTATCAGAATTAAACACTTAACAAAAATATCGTCAACATCGTCAAATCAGAAAACAGTTGTGAACTGGGCAGTTGTGATTTTTGCATGGATGGCCATTAGAAATTTCACTCACAGTCCCTTTGACAATGATTAAAAAGCATAAGGTTTTCATTGAATTCTAAGAAAATACTTTATCTCTTTGCGAACCTGTCTTTATTTATTTGACGTTTAGATACTCCTAGATGTGCTACTGAGACATATTCAGGTATTTCGAGGTAGAGGAAAGCATATTTATACAGAGCTGAAGTTGAGGAGGGGAGGGGGAATCACGTTGTGGAATTACCAGGGGACAAATGTTTCGTATCTCAAAATCAGAAAAGGAATATAAGAAAGATAATAAAAAATATAAATTCTTAATAACTTAATGGAGAAAACATATTCTCAAGAAATTGTTTTCTTTATTTAATTAAGGTTTCTCTACTCCCAGCTCTCCCCTCTTTATACTCTGTCCATTGTTTTATTACAAAGGTCTTCTACGTATACAGACTTACAAATGTTAATCAGGGTCCTTTTGAGAACTGTTTTTATCTTATCTTATGTTTTTACTTTTGAGTGGAGTGTTTTCAATCTTGAACGCTTGAACTAGAAATCCAATGTGTGAACTTTTAAATTTCAAGATAAATGCTTGATCTTGTGATTAAAGTTTTCACTGCAGGTCATAACCACCTCGGGATATCGAAGAGGAATTAAATTGATCCTTAGACTTTGTAAAGTGTATTGTTTTCAATATATAGAAACTAATCGTCAGATGAGAGTGTGCACATTCTCACCAGTGGTATGCTCGAGTAGCTCTTAACCCTCTCAGATCTCAGGTCTAGAGCTACTCTGAGTATAGTATATTAAAAATGATGATACAGGATGTTCAATATCTTTTCTTACCTTTATACCATTCATTTATAGTATTCTCGTCATATCTTGTGTTCACTAAGTTAAGGATTATTCAAGGCATGTTTGTTATGACTCAGTTTCTAAAATGTTAAGAGACTGTAGAGGTAATATTCATAACACCAGTCACCTTCTCAGTTCGTTTAATAAAATGTCAGTACTGGAAATATCCCGAAGAATAATATTAGGCCTCTTGGTTCAGCCATTTTGATGTTTATTGGATATAAAAAAGATAATGCAAATTAATGTTTGGTTTGAAAAATAGATGATTCTTTAGCTAATGCCAAAATCAAAAAATTATTAGGTCTGCTCCTAATCTATTTATGATAAATTGAAAACGTATTCAAAGGTTTCAATTTTTCAATTATTCAATTCAAGTTTGTGTTGTTGACACACAAAACAATTTAGCTTTAAATTAACATTTATGTTTTAGAGAAATAAAAACTGTGATTTAATGGGAAAATGTTTAAATTTGCAGGCTGAGACACGAGGAAATAAATAGATAAGTCTGCAAAATAAGTCATAAAATGTTGTAAATGTGACATTTTTAATATTCCCCCCCAGATATTTTCCGACATATTTGATGATCAAATTGATTTAATTAATCCTCAGGTCGATCTGGGGATATGCATCTCAATCAGTTATTCACTAACTCCACAGATATAAATATGAATCTTGTATTGCACGTATGAGCGATAAAGGTGCAAGGCCCACATAAACCCCGCGAAATAGTCTCCAAGTTTCCGGATTTGCAGAATTACCTCCGAGCTTCTAAAACAGGCTCCATGAAAAGTTATTTGATGATATTGTTTATCAATCTACAAAAGCCATTAAAAATTAAAAATCAACAGTGGAGCCAGATTGCGTGGTCGGATTCCGTTTTGCGTAGACTCGGAGCCCGTTTTAGGAGATTCGGAGGTCATTCTGAGAAACCGGAGGCTTGGCGACCATTTCGCGGGGCTTCCTCCACGAATACAAATTATTTCTCGGGTGTTTATTAAAAATATCTCTTCATTACATGGGGTGGGGGAAATAGAATAGGGGTGCAATTAGATACAAGAGGGAATATTACATTACTAAGGCTTTACAAGACTTTGTTGTGCATCTTAAGTATAAAGTGAGGGATGCTTGGTCGAGGGAAGTCAAGGAAATGTAATAATATTCCCTCCTATACTATTAAATTCCCATTGTGTAACGTGAATGAAGTGATTTGTATTTGTTTCATCTTTGTTGTAAATATGCGGAATGTATAGTGTGTAATTTTTAAGTTGGTTAAAAATAAGAAAAATAATACGATTTGGTTCTGAACGGAATCAAGTTTTGGGCAAGTTTAATGTTTTTTTTTTGAGACACCTTATAAATGCATAAAACACATGCACGTAACTTCCATTTAAGTTTTTTTTAACATATGAAATTTATAACTATATTTTGAAACTAGTTTATTTGAACCATCAGAATTCATAGTTTGTAATATCAAAGGTCTATGAAATCGGGTTGCGATGATAGAAAGATTAAAAAATCAGAGTTTGTGGAAAAAATTAAGATGGAAAGATTTAAATTTTTTATTAAAAAGTTTCCAAATATAACCTCTGCTGGCATTAATAACAATACCTAGTTATGTCTTATTATACCGTCTATTTACAAAAAAATTGTAAAAAAGATGTTTTTTACAAATTATAAAAAATTATCTTTTTATGGTTTGTAAAAAAAATAACCTCTTCTGTATGTAGAGTATAATATCTTTAGGTGTAAATAAAATGATGTTAGATTGAATTCAAAACATTGCGTAAAAATGTGCTCGGAAGAATGATATGTTGAATATTCTGCCTTTGAGGAATTCTATATCATGTTTCGATAATCTCTCCTTCGAACCTTTAGCACCCATCCTAGATCTGAAATATTTTTCAATACTTTTTTTAATTTATCTTTCTTTTTTGCCTTAGAAATAATTTTTTTTGGTTTGAAGCTCTTAATAATTCTTTATTCTTATTTTCGAACAAAAAAAGTTTTACTTAGTTATTTTGAATGTTTTAAAATTCCATATCTTTTAAAAAAGATTTAAAAGATTTGAAACCTTTATCCGATCAATAAAGATATTATCGTTTTTCCAGGTTTCCAGGTGTTTCAACCTGACAATTTCTATTTTTCTATTTTTCTTTCCTGCAGTAGTCGTTCTTGTAGAGAAATCAGTATTCAAATTGATATCTAATTCATACTTGATCAGACAAAGCTTTTAAGGGTACCGTTGTGAATCGGGCATTTTCATCTTTACCTAAAATTGAGCTTACAGTCCTTAATTGAAATTAACTCTTGATTTGTTTATTCAAGCTTTCCCATCGTGCACAGTATTTCTCTGCAAATCATACATCTAGATCTAGTCATTTCCCTTCCAGTAGTAAATCAGCATTATAAAAAATAAAATTAGATAAAAAATATACGAACAAATACTACTGGAAAGATGGAAATTATCTCAAATCAAACAGAGCGTTAAGGGTACCATTGTGAACTGTATTTTTGCTTAAATGAAAATGAATATTTTTACAAATGACCCCCGAGTACTGTAATATACAGATTGACCTTTGAAAGTGGAGTACATGGCCTGTACAATTAGCAAAGGATTCGCGTACATCATTACTCTATTTACTATAACCTCGTTGGATGCAAAAGCATAAATATAATTAAATCAGAGTTTGTGGCAAAGTATCAATTCTTTTGACCTTCTGCTAGTGCTACACAGTGCAGATTATTGTACTGTTAAACATGGAACTAAGATGGGGGTCTTCATTTAAACAATGTTTATATTTACAAAGCATTTCTTATCAAAAATTATATTTGCATCCAAAAAGAAAATATCAGTCATATAAATGTTTTGCTTTTATCTTTTAAAGTCGCGTTTTTTTTGGACTCTCTCTCAATTATCTAATTATTCTTATTATTTCTATTTTTCACATTTTGGTTTTTTCTTTTTGTTGTGGCTCAAAATTAAATTATATTGAAAATTTTAGTTTTAATTTTTTTATTGTTTTTGTAACGAGTAATTTTTGTGAATTTAGTTTTGTAGATTATTTCTTCAAAAATGTAAAATTTTGATTTAATTTTTTCTTTATTTTTTCTTTTACGTAAATACAAGAATCTAGGGCTTGAGATCTAGTTCTAAATTTCTCTTTCAGATCTAAAATAACTCAGAATCTTCTGTAAACAAAAAATATTTTGAAAATTATAAAACAATATTTATGTTTATATAAATCATAATTTTTTATTTTAAGATATTTTGATGTTTTTTACTGTACAATTTGCTTTCGTTTTCCTTAATTTCGTACTTTCTTTTAAACTCGAAATGTATCATTCTTTTTATTGCATTGTAAAAACTGCAAATCAATGAAAATAATCAAGAGATATTAAATAATATCCTTTTTTGAAATCAGTTTTTAAAATTATAAACATTGATATCTACGCAAACTTGAGTTTAAGGTTGCATGGAGGGTCTCTTAAATATACTTACAATCCCTATTATAGAACTATGATATAATGAACTATCTAGAATATAGTATGGATTAATCTAGAACTATGATGGATGGGAAGGTAGAAGCAGAATGGATGAGAAGGTAGAAGCAGAATGGATGAATGTAGAAGGAGAATGGATGGGAAGGTAGAAGGAGAAGGGATGAGAAGGTAAAAGGAGAATGGATGGGAAGGTAAAAGGAGAATGGATGGGAGTGTTGAAGGAGAATGGATGGGAAGGTAGAAGCAGAATGGATGGTAAGGTAGAAGGAGAATGGATGGGTAGATAGAAGGAGAATGGATGGGAAGGTAGAAGCAGAATGGATGGGAAGGTAGAAGGAGAATGGATGGGAAGGTATAAGGGGAATGGGTAGGTAAGAAAACTGCATCCAGATACATGGAGAAAAACCAACAACAACAGGAAAGAAGAAAATGACGGGGGTTTTGGGGGATTTAGGGAGAATGGATGGGAAGGTAGGAGGAGAATGGATGGTAGGGTAGAAGGAGAATGGATGGTAAGGTAGAAAGAGGAAGGATGGGAAGGTAGAAGCAGAATGGATGGTAAGGTAGAAGAAGAATGGATGAGAAGGTAGAAGGAGAATGGATGGTAAGGTAGAAGGAGAATGGATGGTAAGGTAGAAGAGGAATGGAAGGTAGAAGGAGAATGGATGGGAAGGTAGAAGGAGAATGGATGGTTAGGTAGAAGGAGAATGGATGGTAAGGTAGAAGAAGAATAGATGGGAAGGTAGAAGGAGAATGGATGAGAAGGTAGAAGGAGAATGGATGAGAAGAGGTTAATCTAGAACTATGATATAATGAACTATCTAGAATATAGTATGGATTAATCTAGAACTATGATATAATGAACTATTAAGAATATAGTATGGATTAATCTAGAACTATGATATAATTTAAACTATCCCGAATAATCTAGAACTATGATATAATAAACTATTCAGAATATAGTATGGATTAATAAACTATTTAGAATGTAATGGATAAATCTAGAACTATGATATAATAAACTAATAAGAATATAGTATGGATTAATAAACTATCTAGAATTTAGTGGATTAATCTAGAACTATGATATGATAAACTATTAAGAATATAGTATGGATATATTAAAGTGTTTATGCAAAGACAAGACGCACTACTGACCAGGCTTAAACTGCTCAGACCGGCAGCAAGAGAAAGCTATTTTGTCCTGCAGGAGTCCTCAAGTTATGCATGTATAAATATGTGTATATACATTTTAGGAGTCCTCTATACATTATAAGAATTTATAGGCATATATTTAGGAGTCCTAGAAACACCATTTACATTCATAGGAGTACTCTATACACTGAGATCAATAAAACTGTAGAAAAATATAAAGACGACATTAAAGCTATTCATATGTAAGATTCTTGTTGTTATAAAGAAAATTGTTTATAATGGTAGCTTAAAAATCACTTTATTAAATACAATGGGTCTGAGTACACTGCACAGTTAGTTGATGTGTTTTATGTTTATTCGACCATAATAAAATTAGTCTCTTAGTCGTCTTCCTATTCCACTTTTTTTTTATTTAGTTAACTGGTATGACCTGTATACGTGATTATAAAACATAATATGAATTTTCTTCTCAATATTAATTAATAAACACTTCGCCTTTTGGCTCTTAGTTCTATTCAAGGGATTTTTTAGAACTCTCCTTATTTACCAAAAGAATAAAAAAGTGAACTTTAAGTTTTCTATATACTTGAGTTTTTGCACTTTTGTAATAAATTTATTAGCTTTTAGTTCAAACACATTTTCTTCTCTTACGAGAAAATTAAACATAATTGATTTAAAAAGCAGGAAACATTAATTCAAACTGGGTTTAATGGTTCATTTTTTACTGTAGAAATGGGCCCAAATTGGGGTTTTAGGATTCCGTCTCATTTCGAGAGGAAAATTCTATGGTACATTTTTCGTACATTTCCCGTATTCAAATCATTGCCACGTGTTATGTCACAAATATTACTTTAATAACAATTCCAGTTTTTAGTTAAACTATAATCCGAAATTCGAAACAAAAATCACTTATCTGACGATACTAATCAATGAAAACGAAAGGAAACCTATAAAGAATGAATTAGCGGCTGAATTATTTTAAGAATCTGCTTAGGTCTCAATATTTTATTTGTAAATATAATAAAGTATAAAGAATAAATTTTGTTTTCCTGCATTTTTACTTGCATGCAATTGCAATTTATTTAATAATTGTTAACCCTCCTTTCCAATTACTTAATTCATTGTTTACCATTGCATTGCGCAACTCTGTGCAATGCCATTGCTAAAGTGAATTTCTTGTAAAATCTTACTTTAAGCAAAAAAACAATGCCAGTAAACATTTTTCAATCATGGAAGAACAGTTTTTATTTTTTATTTTGTCTAATTTGTCCTCAAAATTAAGGTGCGGAATTGCTTAACAAATTTACACTTGTTTGAAATTGAGTAAATGTGTGTTAAAATCAGGATATGTTTCGAAAAATGGATATGTTCAAACAAATTAAATCAAGTATCAACAATAACTGATTTTCTGATTTTAGTATTGCTATTTATAAATATATGCCGTATTATTTTTATTACTTGGCTTGGCTTGAAAAAGATAACTTTGCAGATATGGCCCAATTTTAACACTCAGTGTTAGAAATAAGTCAAATCATGGTTTGGAACTAATATCCCCTGAAAAGTAAATTTGATTTCTGAAGTTAACAAAATTTTCTTCCTTTTATATTAAGGATTTTCATTTTCTAGAGAGCAAAATAAATTAGATTTTGTTAAAAATCTAACCCCACAGCTTTTTACAGGATCCGTGCACTATAGTTATTGTTTGATGCGGAGAATAGTTGTTCATGATAACATGCTATACTTTATTAATCCGTTTTTTAAAGGTTTAAAAAATTAAAGGAACGGACAAGGATATCAAGTAGCACGCGGATTTAACGATTCGGTTCTTATCCCAGAGAATGCTGTGACTTTCGATCACAATTCGACTGATTAAACATTTTTTTTTTCTCCTTTTCTCTATTTATACTCTTTTGTTGGTATATGCGCTTTAAACGAAAAATTAAAAAAATTCAGAAAAGACAAAAATCATTTGAAAACATTATAAACAATCATAAAAAAGTGGTTTTTCATGTTTTTAATGCAATTTTAACCATAATAATTAACTAATTTTGTCAATATTTTGAATACGCATCTGTAAACTTTTTATAAACTTTTTTATTATATAATTGTTTGAATAAAAATCCCTAGGTTTTCAAACAGATGCATTAAGGTTTAAAAAGAATGAGAATTAAGCTTTGCATGAATATTCGCTATTTCCCAACATAGAATAGAACTATTTTGATTTCTTGTGTTATCTTTTAGTTTGTCACACACAGATCTCATTCCTCAATTTAAATCAAATTCTAAACCGGAATTAATTCTACATTTCTACAAATCTAAATATTAAAAGCGAAAGAGAAGAACTAAAAGATTAAATGACCCACCCCTCCCGACATTTTAAAATTTTTCATATATTTTAAAGAAAACATGATAAAAAATATTTTAGCGTGTCATCTTGACCAATTTATTTTTTCAATAGAAATTGGATAGAAGTCAGTTATAAATAAATACTAAAAATATCCGAAAATTCCTTGTACTTTTTTAAGCCAAAAGAAATTTTCGCAATATTTGAATGTATTTGAAGTTACTATATGTGAGCGAATAGTTTTACTGGCCACTTTGTTGTTTAACAAACGGATTAAAATATATTCAAAAGGGATAAGTCCCATTTATGAATCGAATAAATAGTTTAGATACATTTTAAAACTGTCACGGCTGAAATTTAATTTAATTTTTGCTAAACCAAAAGTTTACTTCATTAAGTTAAACCCATATGAATACAGCAAGCTTATTATAAAAGAAAAACTTTTTTAACAATTCCATTTCATTTATTTTATCTCTTTGATATTTTAGTATGAATGAGTTTTTGACTTTTTCTGCTTTTAGCTGGCAAAAAGAACAAGATGGCAAAAGGTGTTTTCATTTTTGTACACACGTTTTTGAATTTGAACATTTATTAATTTTTTAGTTTATTTCAAGTGTTGAAACTTTAACAGTTTTTCCCCGGCCGGTTTGGCAACATGTTTTAACAGATAAATATAATCATGGGGTTCTGCTCAATATTCATGATTTCAAAGGATTTGGGATTTTTTTATCTATCTATTCTATCTACATATAAATTTGGCTTGTCTGTCTGTTTGTTTGTATTCAATAAACGTCAAAAAAATTAATCTCTTGAAAATCCGCGGAATGTTTTTCTTCTTTGTTTTAAAATGTAAACAAAAATAACATGTTCACAATTTTAATATTTAATTAATATTAAATGCTCAAAAATAATTTCAATCTCGATATATAATGTGGGTATAATTAAAAATCTGGAAACTTCGATGCCTCTCTTAATCCTTTAAGTTGTAAATCACTCCTGACAGTATAAACCTGTGTTCATAATTCTTACGAAGTGGAAAATGATTTTTTAAAAAATTAAACTGTACAAAGAACATTCAGAAATGGAAAAAATACGTAAAAAATGTATCTTTTAAAATCTATTCCGACTTTATTGATTTATTTATCTATATTTGTATGCACATGATAACTCGTTAATAAACTTTTGTGATAAATTCATATTTTCAACAATCCTGTAAACTATAAATGATACGTAAATAAATATCTAGATTTCAAAAAAAAAATATTTAATTAATTTTGCTTTATTGTATTTATCCTATGTTTGTATCCAATAAAGGTCAAACTCAAAGCGGCTGAACCGATCGGGCCAAATTTTTTTGAGGCAATTCACATGACCCCATTGGGAAGGTTTATGGATGCTCAGAATTACAAAAGTTTGTCTCCAAAAATCTCCACAGTTCTTAAATCCTCGAAGTTTTCCTTTATTGTTCTATACTTTGCACGAAGAGAACAAAGCTCACAGATAGGAGAATGGACTTTAAACCTAGTTTACATATATAAATATATATATTTAAAGAATCAGCTTTAGTATTATATATATATAATGGTAAAATTTTTAAAAGGAAAAATATTGCAAAGAAATGTTTGTAATATTTAAAAAAAAAACTTGTAGTAATTTGTAATATTTAAAAAAAAAACGCAATTTGTGATGAAAAAATCTTGTAATTTTAGTTGTTCAAAGAATTTCAACTACTGCAGAGGATCGTCATGAGAACATGTAAAACTTATGTCTAGTAAAATTATTTTCAATAAAATGTAAAGTTTAAAAACTGAAATATATATTGTTTTTCTGAACTTTTGATCTTGAGAGAAAAAATTAGGTTCGCGGAATTTTTTTTCTGGCCATAGTAGCAAAAAAAATAAAAAATTTCCAAAAAATATCGAAAAAACACCATACTATACAGGAGAGTCAAAATAAGGTACAATTTTGTATCAGGCGTCACTAATCACACTTTTTTTGACTCACCCTGTACAATTTTTGAATGTTGGATGGTTACCATTTTGCTGCATATTTAGCTTTTAGTATGTTTTAGGGACTGAGCATACCTTTCAAAATGCATTTTGGGCTTATAAAAAAAAAATATAAGGGGTTTATATTTCAGAAAGATAGTTAGGTATTGGGAGTTGAGGAAGAATAAATTAGGATTCCTGCGGAGAAATCAATTTTGCGAGCAAATATTAGGCTCTGGCTGCATGTAGCTTGTATTGTAGGTATTTGGAAATGAGAATACCAATCAAAAAGCATTTTGGGCGCATAAAAAAAGTTGGATAGATAATGGAATCTGAAGGTTAGATAATTCAGAGAAGTGCAATATGAAGGTTGGATAATTCGGAGAAGCGCAATCTGATGGTTAGACAATTTGGAGAAGCAATCGATGACCATCCAACCTACAAATGATGACCATCCAACGAAAGTACAAAAGTACAAAATTCCTGTGGTGGAGGAGGGGAATAAATTTCGCAACAGTTGAGAAATATTTCATTTCTTTAACCCCCCTCCCCCCCCCCCCCACATCCCTGGAAACAGTCGTGAGCTGCCTCTTAGAACTAATGTATTACAATTTATGATTTGTCAGAGGAATTAAATCAAATCTCCAGAGAGTAGCAAATAAGGATTTAAATGGACCCTGAAAGACCACATAATACAACTCTAAGATCTCTTTCAGTGGTTAAAAAACTAAGTGCAGTTTATTTTCAGATTTTTTGAACAAAAAAAGTATAATTGAGTATTAACAGTTGTACAGATAATTTACAAATAATTACATTTTTACATATATAATTGTGCACATTGTGCCAAACAGAAAAAGTGAAAACCGGCAAGTTTATAGAAAGAATTGGTAATTGTACGGCAGGATACAGTAGACTGTACTGCATCATACTGTAGAAATATGTACATTATACATTATACATGATACATAGATTGTGCGATTAATATTTAGGCAAGCACTTATATGTCAACAAAATAAATTTTTAAAGATCGAACTTTGGTTCAAGCATTTTTAGATCACAAATAAACATTTAACTTCAAACTTAGCAATTTTAAATTTAGTAATTAATTCTCAGAAGAAAGTCAATTATAGCCCCTTTTGCCTATTAATGATAGCCTAAATGGAAAAAAATAATGCTTAATAAATTATTATACTAGAGGGGAGGGGCGTAAGTGGGGGATGAGTATAAGGAACGAGACCCACTTCTGCAATGAAAAATAAGTAAAAACTAAATGAGAAAAAATTAAAGTTTGAATTGGAAAGAAAACTTGAACCATAACTTATTATTAATATACAGTGCAGTGTGGTGACAAAAAAACTAAAATAGTTGTCGTTTCGTTGTTTAATTTTATTAGGAATTTGTGATTCGTACTTGTGGTCTCAAATTTAAAATTGCCTACAATGAATATTGAGAACCATCGTTTCAGATTAACAATATCCACACAAAAGTTCCGATATCAAAGGAACATATTTGGGAAAAATTCTATGACAAAATCCTTAATATCGAAATAGCAAGAAAGGCAGAAGACAATCATATCACTAAATAAATAATAAAATAGTTACAAGTTAAAGCATAATTATCAACTTAAAGCTTTTTTCAATTTTGTACTAGATGACATAGTGAAAAATGCAAATTGTGTCAGCTTTGAATTGAACAGAATTTAGTTCACTGGAAAACATTGCTAATTTCAGAGTTAACTGAATTAATACTTTTGGTTGAGTATATGTTAGATCTATTTAAAGGGACTGTCGACGTATTTTAGTAAATGATCTAATTAAAGGAACTGTCGACGTATTTTAGTAAATGTAAGATCTAATTAAAGGAACTGTCGACGTATTTGAGTAAATGTTAGATCTAATTAAAGGAACTGTCGACGTATTTTAGTAAATTTAAGATATAATTAAAGGAACTGTCGACGTATTTGAGTATATGTTAGATGTAATTAAAGGAACTATCGACGTATTTGAGCATATGTTAGATGTAATTAAAGGAACTGTCGACGTATTTAAGTATATGTTAGATGTAATTAAAGGAACTGTCGACGTATTTCAAAAAATAAAGAATTACATGTCCAATTCACAACCTTGACTGACTACGCAAAAAAAGGTGAAATCCATGTTATTTTCTCTAAATTTTATGTTTTTAACTGCAGTTTCTTGACGTGCAGAATTTTGCCACCTAGGTGAATTAGGAAATAAAAAGAATTCTTCCTTAAGTGGTACTGTTGTCAATAGAGCATATCAAATATCAATCCAAACTACATCAACCACTAGACGGTTTCCTAAGTGTCGTTGTATCTACTCTGCTCCTCCTTCACTCCTGGTGCTTTTTGTATCCTCGTTATCCTTGTTCTCCTCCTGGCACCCCTTCACCTCCTCAACCACCTGGCTGATCGTTCTCCCGTTCACAACCGTGCTCACCTACACCAACAACAATATTGTTCAGACATAAGAAGATGGGGGAGAAGGCCGTTTCATGTTTTTTAATCGGTCTTTTAAGGTCTTTTGTGTTATTTACCGAGTATAAAAAACTTAACATCGGCGAAGTCTCTTGTGCGGAGAATCTTTCAGATCCGTGACTCGACTCGATCACAGTTTTCCCAAAATACTCTTCCAAGAAGCATCGGAAAATGATGACTAAGTTCCGATCATTCAACTATTTATTAATGACAGAACAACTTTAAAAAATCATAAAATCTCCTTAAATACAGGGTGTCCCACGAAACATAACAGTTGGTGAATAGTTCAGAATGTCTTTTTCCATTATTTGTTCAGTTGTTTGATACCAAAGATCGATAAAAATATTTTATGAGAGTCATGTTAAATTAAAATTGATCTCAAAGTAAAATAAAACTAAGCAAAAGATTTGTTTAACTAAAAATAACTATTTATTAAATGTCATGTTTAGCGGGACACCCTGTAACTCTTTTACTTCATACTAATTCCTCCCCCCCCCCTTCAATAGGCCGTCATTTTCTTAAGTAAATTATTACAAACACCGAAAAAACTGGATTAAATTATTGAACAAATTTAGTTTATAATGTTTTAACTTTTAATATATTTTTCATGTTTTAATTCAATCAAAACAATGAATAGTTAAAAAAGAACATTTATTTTTTAATAAGTTTTAATTGCATTTTGCTCCTTTTAATAAATGGTACCTATTTCCAAAATATGTGATCGAACAATACCTTTTGATGATAATTAACCCACCTTAATAGTATAGTTGATGTTAAGCTTTAGCCCGGTGAATACTGCTGCTTGAACGCATCCTGTCAACTTCTTCATCTCAAGGGTCTCCTTCGCAACCTTCATGAAAAAACAAATATTTTTATATCAGTAAAAAACAAATATGTATGACCCCCCCCCCCACACACATTTGAAGTCTGGTGAGGCACTGACCACATTGACACCCTTTTACGTAAAAAAGTCTCAATGAGGGCAGTGCCCCACGATAGACTCCCAACAGTGGGCTAGGGGGGCTTTTATAGCAGTGCACATTCCAACTGAAATATAATTATTACTATTTTTTCTTCTAAAACTAAAAAATACGTATCATTATCTAGCTCGTCTTTTCTGTGGGAATCAACTAGTAGTTTCCTAAAAAACCCCGGTCGGACTTTCAAGAGACCAATCAATGAATACAAATGCTTGAGTTAAGATTTGATGATATCGTAGATTATAAAATGCTTTAGCATACTTTAGCATAGAGAGATTCCTTAAGCTATTTACCAGACAGATGATTTAATAATTAATATATTTAGTTGAACTCCGATTTTCTTTAAATTTATCCAAGTATTTTATAAACTTCATATACCCCATCTCCGCTCTCTCCAATAACCGCAGCAGCCTCCTTGAGATCGAACCCTACCACTGCTGTATCTGCCGGCGGACAAATCTCCGCCACATACATAAGATTGACACCGGGAAGTCGGGATAAGGCAGCTCGAACCCCAGTCTTAGGTTCCTTAACATTTTATTACGAACATATATAAAAAATAAATAGTTCAGGAAATAAATTATTTAACAAAAACGTCGTAAAAAGCAATAAAATAATAAAATCAGTAACATTTGACAACAAAAATAAAACAAAACAAAAAACATTAAAGATATGAAAAATGCAATATCATAATAAAATAATTAACAATAGCATTAACACAAATAAAAGTAATATCAAAAGTATTAACCATGTGTCATATGAAATTGTTATAGCCATAAAAATATCAATAGCAATTAGCAATAATAATAACAATAACAATAAATAATTGAGCCAAGTTCAATATTTTCACATATCATATATTTTGTTGTAAAAAATGACAAAATTTACCTGGAATTCTACCCTGGCCAACCCGAGATCCTTAATGACAGAAATCTGGAGAATTGTTGGTCTCATTGCAGCACCAAACTTCTAAATATATTAAATCACTGCAGCACCAAACTTCTAAACATGTTAAATCATTGCAGCACCAAACTTCTAAACATGTTAAATCATTGCAGCACCAAACTTCTAAACATATTGAATAATTTCAGCACCAAACTTCTAAACATATTAAATCATTTCAGCACCAAACTTCTAAACATATTAAATCATTGCATCAGCACCAAACTTCTAAACATATTAAATCATTTCAGCACCAAACTTCTAAACATATTAAATCATTGCACCACCAAACTTCTAAACATATTAAATCATTGCAGCACCAAACTTCTAAACATATTAAATCATTGCAGCACCAAACTTCTAAACATATTAAATCATTTCAGGACCAAACTTCTAAACATATTAAATCATTGCACCACCAAACTTGTGAACATTTTAAATCATTGCAGCACCAAACTTCTAAACATATTAAATAATTGCAGCACCAAACTTCTATATATATTAAATCATTGCAGCACCAAACTTCTAAATATATTAAATCATTGCAGCACCAAACTTGTAAACATATTAAATCATTGGAGCACCAAACTTCTAAATATATTAAATCATTGCAGCACCAAACTTCTGAAAATATTAAATAATTGCAGCACCAAACTAATAAATATATTAAATCATTGCAGCACCAAACTTCTAAATATATTAAATCATTGCAGCACCAAACTTCTTAACATATCACAAAATCTTGAAGAATCTGTGAAAATAACGAAATATTAATTATAAAGCTGTTGAACTGTTACGAAACTAAAATCGATAAAAAAATTAAAATATGAACTCTACAGTTTTTTTTGGCAATAAGAATACATAAATCGAGGCCTTTGAATATGCCGATAATATCCCCCCCCCNTTTCTTTCAACACAAATTTGAATAAACCACAATCCGTTTCTACCAATTTTTCTACATTCTCAGTAAAGTATAAGACGGTTATCAAGTATTAAGCATAATCATATCTAGAAAAGAAACAAAACTTCTGCCAATTTATCCTTTACATCCTTTGATTTTTGACCACTACTCTCTTTAAAAAATTAACATTGACAATGCCTTTAAAGTTTTGTGTATTGCACTTTACCTTGTCGAAGAGAGTCATGATTGCTATTGCTGGTGCTACACCGCTACTGGTGGACAGCAAATCCAACAACAGTCGCAGGTCACGGTTAGTATAGTAAATTTCATACAACTCACCAAGAATCTAGAAGAATTAAATTTAAAAATCATGGAAATTATGAATATAAATTGCTTTTGGAAAAACAGTCTCCACTACAAAAATTTTTGACAATAAATTGCAAAAAATATTTCTTAAAATTTTTTGGAGGGGGTGGGGTGGGGAGTCGGGGAATTACCTCTTCATCAGTTTCTCCAGCCGAAGCATTCTCCTTCATGTATCTCTTGTATGTTCTCATAAGTCTAAATTCAATCAATTAATCAAGTTGATCAACCACTTGATCATCAACAAACAAAAAATAAAACAATCAGACGAGCATTGTCAAAAAGACGTGTTAAAATGACATAACCAATTTAATCTAATCAAACTATACAGGGATAGCTTGTGGCATCCTTGGTATCTTTCCCACATTCGTCCGATCTTCATCAATCATTGATAATTAATTTTAGATTTTTTTACTATCCATGACTTCAAGCTAAAAAAGGTTTTGAAAGAATAAGGTTACAAGTCTACTTGTAAAGATCACATCAACGCAACCATATTTGAGCCATGCTACTACCATTTTGTCGTTTTAATTCTTCGTTTTTAAACATATGTCAGGTGTCAGTGTACTCCACAATGTAATGAAAATAAGCTTACATAAAAAATAAAATTTTGAAAAAGATTTACTTCTTTTCCGGACTTTAGTGAGAAAAAATGAATATAATAATGCCATAAAAGATACCCATCTGACCATATACCTGGATAACCGGCCCAGGCATGGAACTGTTAACCAGAGTAGATTATACATGTTTAGTACAAGGTAGAGTCCTGTTATACCAACTAAAATCAGAAATGTTAAAAGGAGGGTTAACCTAACTTTGCGAACTTTTGTTTATTTTACATTAGAGGGTCAATCAGAACGTTATATTTCATTTTTCCATTTTCTGATGATTATTTTATCTGGAATATGAAAAATCGCGGCCGTATTCTTTCAAATGGTTTGTGTGCAATGTACATGTACAGTGTACATGTGCAGAAGTGTTAGTACCTGTAGTGTACAGAATGTAAAGGTAAAACTGTGCTGGGGAGCCAGAACATTCAAACCTAAACAGAAAATATGTGGAGAAAAATACCAAAAATATGAAGGGTATTATTAAAATAATAAATAAAACATGGACGCTAAAATGTCTTTCAGATACTAGTTTTTAATGGAATCTACTTAACATTTATCGATAAACACCAATTAGAGCCGAGAGGTCTATTTTAAACAAGAATATAATAAAAATAAACGTTCTGTATAAATTCATTTAGATAAGATTTCTGTTTCAAAAATGCCGAAAATCGAACAATAATGCGAGAAGTAATATCTATAAATGCGTTTTTTAATCACCTTGAAGTCTAAAATATCTATTGCTGGATTAATACAGATAATCATTATTATTTAAGGATAGCATAAAATTTACATAAAACTAAATGTTTTGGAAAATGATTATCTTGAGATCATACAAAGTAAAAATCAATTCCCTCACCAGTATCCGTGCACGTCGCAGAGAATTGTGTCTTGATGCTTAATAACATTCAATCCCTGAAAACATTTTAATATTTAATAACATTCAAACCCTAAAAATATTTAGAACGTTGCAATTTGTAAATGCATTTTTCCTTGAATTTATTTATTCATCGGCAAACTATCAGAGATTCCACACTGGGTTTTCTTTCTGATCATTAAGTGATTGATGGATAGGTTGGTTGATTTATGGATTCATTGATTAATTGATTGATTTACAGACTGGACGAACTGATGGGATTAATTGGTGGATTAATTAATTAAATGATTAATGTTTTTTTTATTAATAAATAAACTGTTGGATTAATTGATTAGTCGATTGTTTAATACGATTTTTTTATGACTGTACCTGAGTGCTCATCCAGACCAGCAGTACACTAGCAATTAGAATCTCCAGTACAGTTCGGACCAGGTAGGACAAAAAATAGTTATTATTTCCTGAAAAAAGTTCACTTTCAAGATAAACCTCCAAAACATATGTATTATGTACAAATGTCATGGAACAACTAGTTGATCCATGACAAATGTATATATTTAAGAAATTCTTTTCGAAGAATTCGGAAATTATAAACAGAATAGTAGAACTTCTGAGGATTTAGTCCAAATTAATGCTTCCATCAAAATGAATCACTTTGAACCAAATTAGTGTTTAAACCCGTTGCATGTAATTTGCTAATCCATTGAAGGGAGGAGGGGTATTGAGGGTAGTCCAAGAATGTGAAAACCCCTGCAAAGAAGAGGGTTTGTAAAAGTTATCACTAATTTGAATATTTGACAACGAAAAATTAACCTCTAAAACTCTGTTTAAGTTCAATCGCCTCCCTGCCACCATCGGTTACATCTACTATAGCCCCCTGCACATCCTAATACAGAAGTAATATATAGACCCCTGCTCATCCTAATACAGGAGTAATATATAGCCCCCTGCTCATCCTAATACAGGAGTAATATATAGCCCCCTGCTTATCCTAATAAAGGAGTAATACAAAGCCCCCTGCTCATCCTAATGCAGGAGTAATATATAGCCCCCTGCTTATCCTAATACAGGAGTAATATATAGCCCCCTGCTCATCCTAATACAGGAGCAATATAGCCCCCTGCTCATCCTAATAAAGGAGTAATATATAGCCCCCTGCTCATCCTAATACAGGAGTAATATATAGCCCCCTGATCATCCTAACAGGAGTAATATATTGCCCCTTGCTTATCCTAATACAGGAGTAATATATAGCCCCCTGCTCATCCTAATACAGGAGTAATATATAGCCCCTGTATATCCTAATACAGGAGTAATATATAGCCCCCTGCTTATCCTAATACAGGAGTAATATATAGCCCCTTGCTTATCCTAATACAGGAGTAATATATAGCCCCCTGCTTATCCTAAAACAGGGGTAATATATTGCCCTCTGCTTATCCTAATACATGAATAATATAAAGCAACCTACTCATTCTAATACAGCCCCCTGCTTATCCTAATACAGGAGTAATATATAGCCCCCTGCTTATCCTAATACAGGAGTAATATATAGCCCCCTTCTTATCCTAATACAGGAGTAATATACAGCCCCCTGCTTATTCTAATAAAGGAGTAATATATACCCCCTGCTTATCCTAATACAGGAGTAATATATAGCCCTCTGCTCATCCTAATACAGGTGTGAAATATAGCCCCCTTTTCATCCTAATACAGGATTAATATACAGCCCCCTGCTCATTCTAATACAAAAGTGATTTATAGCCCACTGCTCATCCTAATACAAACACAAAAAAAGGAAATAAAAAACGACAATATCTTCCTCATAATTGCTAAGAAAAAGATAATCTAAGATGCCATCATTTTGGACATGTTTCTCTTTAAATGAAGGAACATAAACAATTAGGTCAAAAGTCTCTTTCAGTGGAAGATAAAGGGAAAGTAGGAATGTAACCCTGTACAGTAATTACTGATTATTGAACAATACCTGGTTCTGGGAGGAGAGAACGTTTTCTTTAATTAGAAACTTGTAAAATGTTTCTAGTTTAAGACCAGCCTAAGACAAATATTAGTTCAGGGTACCAATATATTAATAATAACAAAATGTTCGTTAAATAGAAAATTGTGATATAATTCAATAACTCAAAAACGATGATACATCAGAGGAAGTGCTATTATGTGAGACGATCAAGAAAATATCATAAATAATATGCAAAGTTCATGATAGCGGGATGATATCATGTTATCTTAAAAGNAATCATTTTTGATGATCTAAGGGGGAAAATGAAAAATTGGACATCAAAGGCAAGTTTTCTTCATTCTTTTTGAGACGTTTTACCCCAAAACTTATTTAATTACTCATAAAAATCTTCATTTTCTCCAATTCAGGGAATAAAATAACCACAAATGTTGCGCCAAACAAACATAACTTCAGGAAGGGAAATTAGTATAAAAGAGGCATGTTTTTTCGAGAAAATAAACATCCTTACAACAGTTACATTTAGTCAAAGTTTTGATGAAAAAATAAAGATAATTTTCTCCCGGATTCGTCAGATTCTAAAGCACGGAATGATGAGATATAGAACATGGTCGCAAGATTTAAAAACCAACTTGCACATTGCTTCGGAATTTTTCAAGAAGATTAGAAAGCAAGCATTTTCAGTTTTAGAAATTTATAGATTTACTTTTAAGATCATTGCTTAGGATCCATTTAATCGTGATGCGGATCCGGATCCAGGTCATTTCCGTATATTTTTGCGGATCCAGATTCAGGAAGCAAAAATCTTGCGGATGCAACGGATCCGGATTCTAAGCACTTGTTCAGATACAATTATCTATCAAATAAATAAATCCAGGGCTTAGTAGGATCAAGATCCGGATCTGTTGGATCCACCACATTGTGGCTTCCTGGGTTTGAATGGGGACAAAATATTTAATAAAAACTGTAAAACAAACTTTTTGCTCCCTAACCACAAATCTGAACTGTTAAAAAAAGAGAAAATATAAAAATTGTATCGTAAAAATAAGCAAAAATAGAAAAAAAACTCAATGAAGACATGTTTATTTTTCAAAAAGCAGATGAGGATCCGGATCCGCACCCGCATCAAAATAAAATGGACCCTGAGCTGAAAACTTTAGAATGGGATATCCCTAATCCCGATCGGTTGATTAATCTGGAGATTAACAGAGGAGAACAAGCATTTTAATCTCGAGATTAAGAAAAAGAGTGGATCAAGCCTTAATCCCGATATCCACCATTCAAAAGTTCCCAGCTCTGAGCACTGAATTAGTCTAAATCCCTTAATCATGATCCGAACAATGTTTTTTTAATTGTTTGTTTCCTAGCATTCTCGCCAATATATCTCTAGCGTCTTGTCCAAAGGGCTCTGGCAGAAGCTGAAACAATTCAAAGTTAATTAGACGAAGACAATAATTTACAAAAATTATTACATTTAATGTTTAAAGGGTGTTAAAAGGAAACATAAAAAAATTCGCCGAACCCCGACAATTATTGATTATACCATTGTATTCGTCACAAATTTCTGTTGAGAAAAATGTTCCTAAACTAAAACAATTGTTACGTTTTCCGTCCAGTTTTTAAATAATTTCAAAAAATCAAATCTTGAGAGCAAGCCTCCAGAATGATCTCTCTTCATACTTTTTTAAAGCGCGAAATTTTGGTCTTATGTCGCTATCACAAAGCTGTAAAACGTTTTATAGGTATCTAATGAATCCTGATATTTTCTTTAGGATAAAGCAATCTCAGTTCAACTACCATTAACTACCAAATATAAGAATTCAGTTTATAAAGTAAAATTATACTTTCGTCAGAATATTACAAAATATTTATTAGAGTAAATGAATCTATACTTCTTAAAAGTATTATTGAGTGCCGACCGCTAAATGACCTCTGCCTGACCCCAGCCCGGCCTGCACTCTGCTACGCATTTTTGTCAATGGCCGATGCAATTTTTGATCTAAAGATTGTTATTTGCAATTTTCACCGATAAACTTGTTAGAGTAAAATTGTCAACTATTTTTTTTTGGATAAATTTCCGAAAGAAGAAACAGATTTTTAACAAGAACTCTTCCAAATACGTTTTTTCAGTTTGGAATTTTGATTAATAGTCACTATTTAAACAATGTTAAGTTTTAATAATATTTATGATTAAAATGTGTTAAAACCTAATCCTATTTTTCTTAAAAAGTAGGCATTCATTTTTGTTTAGTCTAGAAATAAAATGGGAATTTTAAAACAATTTAACCTATAAAAGGGTAGTATAAATTTCTGGTTGAAATACCATTAAACCAATTCTTGTAATTAATCAATTCAAAGTTAACCATTCAGAATTTTTTAGAAAACATTGAATATACGCGATTTTAAAATGACTTTTTCCCATTAGTTGAAAAGATGGCGCATTTCTACGGCAGAAAAATATTTTGGAATTATCAGAAAAACGACAAAATCTTTCACGTTCTTGATCGGATAAAGGTTTCAAGGGTACCGTTGTAAATCTGACATTGCCATCTTTTCTTGGAGGGTCCCTTGATATGACGCTTGTGAATCCCTTATAAGGGGGGGGGGGGCTAATTCGAAAAACTAACCTTGTATGGATCCTTCCCCTGCCAGTTGGGGAAAGCAGATTTATATTCCGGGAGTTTATGACAGCCAGGCCAGGACTCTTCTGTCGGAGTATTCAACGCTCTGGGACCGAATTTAATAAATTTCAAAGAGGTTGCTGAACTTCTTACAGCCGGTTCAATTACTTCTCAAGTACTCACTGGTTCAAATCCTAATTCACCCATTTAAAGTTTACAAATTTGAAGGACCCTAATTTTAAGTGGTTGATGGAGAGAATTTTTTTCCGACAATTTAAACCAATGCGGGAGCGCTGCAAATATTGGGTTCATTAATCAATTTGCGACTCTTTTTCACAATTTAAAAACCTCAAGTTGAACCAGTCATAAAAGATACGTGGTTGAACCGTCTCTATAGAGTTCAACAACTTGTTGCAATTAATTATATCCCTGAATATTCTAAACAACTGATCTATCTCCGAGTCTCCGGGGAACAGAGGTAGTTTCGTTAACATCTCCCAGAATATACAACCTAGAACACCATATATTTAAATCCGGATCCGTTAAATCCGCAACATTTTGGCTTCCTGTATCCGGATCCGCAAAAATATGAGGATCCACCCTTATCCCTGAACTGTTCATCATGTTATTGCATAAAAAAAAAAGGAAAAACAGTAAGAATAAATTTGAAAATTCTTTTGTTAAAAACAGCGTTTCGGATCCGGATCCGTATCATTTGGTCGGATCCTAATCAGGAAACGTTGATATGGATCCGGGTAGCGCCAAAAATTAACCAAAACCATGGAATAAATAAATCAAAATGGTTCGTAAATGTTTTATTTACATGACGAAAATTTTTCAAAATTATCTTTAATAATTTAATGTTTACATTTATATAATAGTAATGACGACATTTTTAACTTTAGGATTACTATAGTTTATAAATTATAACCTTGCATAACATTTAATAGGGAAAATCCGATTCACAGAATCAAAAGTTACCTCGGATCCGGATCCGGATCCGTATCAGAATCAGGATCCGGATCCATCATCACGGATGCGGATCCGCGGATCCGGATCCGCATCAAAATGATACGGTTCCGAAACACTGGTTAAAAAAATCAGTAAATCTTAAAAGCTCATTACCTGCATCTAGATCCCCAGCAAAATTAAATGGATCCTAAGCACTGGACAAAATATTTAAACTAAATCGATCCCCCCTCCCCTTTCTCTTCTTGAAAACATCATTTGAGATCCACAGTGTGTCAAATGTTTGCGCAAAATAAAAAAAAATTTCGCGTTTTTTTTTGCTAAACTGGATAATCTTTTTTTATTGAAAACAAACTAATTTTAGTGATGAAACTTGCTATTTAATGACTAATTTCTTATTTTTATTTTCTCACAGGTTTGAAAAACATTCTTCAGATTATTGTCAAATATTTGGAGGAATAAAGATGAATCTTGTACATTAAACTTTAGCTCAAAAATATCCTTCACTTCAACTTTATTTCATAGAAAAACTTTCGCCTGAAGACTTACATGGGTATCTCATGTACTACCACAACAATACCCTTTAAATCTTAAGCTGAGCAAAATTACAAACTATAAACAGTTATTTCTTCATACATTTGCAGCAGAAAACGAAGGAAGGTGACAATCTATTTTGTTTTTAAGAATAAAAACCGATGCTATCCTCATCATTGAAGCTCAGATAAATATATAAAAGGTATCGTTGTAAATCGGACATTCACATTATTTTACCTAGACTCCAGATATCAGCAGGACAACTGTAGTGAGCAGAGTTCATTAGAATCTCAGGAGGTCTGTACCATAGAGTTATAACCTAGATCATATCAGATAGATAGATATTTATCCAGGAGCAGGGGGTCTGTACCATAGTTATAACCTAGATTATATTAGATAGATAGATATTTATCTCAGGGGGTCTGTACCATTGAGTTATAACCTAGATCATATCAGATAGATAAGATATTTATCCAGGAGCAGGGGGCCTGTACCATAGAGTTATAACCTAGATTATATTAGATAGATAGATATTTATCTCAGGGGGTCTGTACCATAGGGTTATAACCTAGATTATATTAAATAGATAGATATTTATCTCAGGGGGCCTGTACCATAGGGTTATAACCTAGATTATATTAGATAGATAGATATTTATCTCAGAGGGTCTGTACCATAGAGTTATAACCTAGATCATATCAGATAGATAGATATTTATCCAGGAGCAGGGGGTCTGTACCATAGAGTTATAGCTTAGATTATATTAGATAGATAGATATTTATCTCAGGGGGTCTGTACCATAGGGTTATAACCTAGATTATATTAGATAGATACAATTTTTTCATTAGGGCACATAATTTTACATATTTATACTTTTAAAGGGACTGTTAAGTGTAATTACCATCAAGTGACACTCCATGCAAAGACGACAATGCCCGATTCACAACTGTACCCTTATAAGCTTTGACTGATCAAGTTTGAATTAGATATCCATGTTAATAATATAATATTTTCAATTGTGGTTTCTCTAAAATAGTGACTTGCGCATTTCTACTGCAGGAAAACATAAGGGAATTATCAGAATTAAACAATTTTAAACTTAGAAATGGAATGATATCTTCTAAATTCTTGATCATATAAAGGTTATACGAGTATCGGGCATTACAATATTTGCATGAAGGGTTGCTTGAAATTACGCTTAGTCTCTTTCAACAAACCTTAAATGTTGGGATTTCGATGGCAAACACAAATTTTATTGTATGACTTAATTTTTTCGTCTAATGGAAGTGGGAAAGTATTGGGACCTGTTTGGGGGGGGGGGGGGTTTGTAGCTATTTAACCTTACCAATTACCCAATTACCTCAATTTCCCATATGGGTCATTCCATGTCAAGTCAACCACCTATGGACGGCATGTCACAGATTTTGCTGAAATTTTGCATACAATTTGGGATATGAAAAAAAATTCCGGAACCCGAAGATGAGCATTCTGAGACCTCCGAGGCCGGAGATATGGCTCCGGAAAGTTTCCAATAATTCGAGATTTTGAGGACGGCCTCTATATTTCAAATTATTTACAGGTCATAATTGCATTTCTTTATTTTCAGCCTCCGTTTGAGGATGTGTACCAATTCCGATTGTGTTGATTTTTTTAATATATTTTTATACTGCCATAAGGAAGGGGTTAGAAAAGTTTTTTTTATATGTATTTGTTCCTGTTAAGGAGGAGACCTGATAATGTAATGCTAATTTAGATTTCTTAATGTAACTAATAGGTAGTATTTCTGCTTAATTATTGTTATCTCTCCCAAACATTGATAAATATTTAATATTTGATACTTTTATGTGAGTAAGTGATCTAAATAATAATAAGAGACCATCAATAGTATTTATTTCAATAGTATTTCAGTGTATGTCATTTTTTACACCTCCGATATTAGTCTTAGGTGGGGGTCAAATTATAAATCATACCCTCACTGCACAAAAAGACTCAGTCACACAGTGTGTTTGCATCTGAACAGATCAAAGATTTTTATAAATGACTGTACTGTTTATTTGCTCCATGAGGCTATATATCATAATACAATTTACAGTGAAGAAATTAGATAGAAATTAGATAAAACTCTTTGACTCTTTGCACAGTATCTTCTTCTAGAGTCTTTCCTCTCTTAGGATTGGGATCTGAAAGTATTCCCTTCTCTCTTGCAGTTTTTTTTAGCAATTTTTGTCATGTGCCTGGAGGTGTCAAAGACTCTTGCTATTTTTCTCTCAGACTAAGTTTGTGCTACAACTGTGAGGACCTGGATTTTTTCACTTCTCAAGGAAGTGCTGGCAAACTTGTCTTTGAGTTTCTCAATGATCTCTTGATAGTCTTCAACCTATGAAGCTTGATCCCAAAAAGATTATATTGTCGAACTGTTATGTTTTCTTATACATATATTTGGATAGATTTTTACTTGAATTTCTGCTCCTTCAGTAGTCAAGCTTTTTTGAAGTACAGTTTGATTTTTGGATAGCTTCCTGCTAGCATAAGTTGGGGTTATCTTTCTGAGTCTTTTCAGAGGAAATTCTCTAACAGCTTTTAAACAGCTATTCAAATGCTGCACAACCTCTACTTCATCTGTACTACTCTCATCATCTATAAAAGGTTAATCATCTTGTTTGCTTGATGATGAAGTATTAGATCCAAAGCTAATATCCATTTCATCCTCTGGAGATGTGCTGTTGAGTCTTTTCAGGCAATTGATACACACCTTACAACTATCATAAAATATTTTAATAAATATTTAATCTCATTTTATTAACTCAATGAATCTTCTAATTACTTAGAAAAAGTTATGTTTGAAATATTTTAAGTACCCTGATAGATCTATCTATCAGCAGTTGCTTCTGTGACACTTTGCAAGGATTTTGATACATTTTTCTTGTGCAATTTGAATGGATCAATGCAATATCTTGATTTTTTATCACTAGCCCTATTATCAGCCGTAACTTCAAATTTAAAATATAGTATGATTTGACACTAATTTCTTCACTGTAAATTGTTTAATGATAGCCTCTTGGAGCAAATAAACAGTACTCATTTATAAAAATCTTTGATCTGTTCAGATGCACACTGTGTGACTGAGTCTTTTTAAGCAGTGGGGGTATGATTATTAATTTGACCCCAACCTAAGACTAATATCTGAGGTGTAAAAATAGACCTACACTGAAATATTTAAAAATTAGTAACACACACATGCATTTTTAGTGTACAATAGTTGAAATAAATACTATTGATGGTCTCTTATTATTATTTAGATCACTTACTCACATAAAAGTATCAAATATTAAATATTTATCAATGTTTGGGAGAGATAACAATAATTAAGCAGAAATACTACCTATTAGTTACATTAAGAAATCTAAATTAGCATCACATTATCAGGTCTCCTCCTTAACAGGAACAAATACATATAAAAAAAAACTTTCTAACCCCTACCTTATGGCAGTATAAAAATATATAAAAAAAAATCAACACAATCGGAATTGGTACACATCCTCAAACGGAGGCTGAAAATAAAGAAATGCAATTATGACCTGTAAATAATATTTTAATGATATTTTTTCTATTAACGCCAAATAACGGGCTTGTAATTATCTATTCAAAACTGAAAAAGTTTTGGAGCTATCTTCTAAGACAAAAAAGTTAGAGCCATTTGAAATATAGAGGCCGTCCTCGAAATCTCGAATTATCGGAAACTTTCCGGAGCCATATCTCCGGCCTCGGAGGTCTCAGAACGCTCATCTTCGGGTTCTGGGATTTTTTTTCATATCCCTAATTGTATGCAAAATTTCAGCAAAATCTGTGACATGCCGTCCATCAGGTGGCTGACTTGACATGGAATGACCCATATGGGAAATTTATTTATTCTTGCCAACTACCTCATGAGTGAAAGGTCCTCAGGGAAACTTTAAATAATCTGGCCAATTACCTCATGAGTAGAGGTTCTAAGGAGAAATTTAAATAATCTGGCCAATTACCTCATGAGTGAAGGTCCTCAGGGAAACTTTAAATAATCTGGCCAATTACCTCATGAGTAGAGGTTCTAAGGAGAAATTTAAATAATCTGGCCAAAAACCTCATGAGTAGAGGTTCTAAGCAGAACTTTAAATAATCTGGCCAAATACCTCATGAGTAGAGGTTCTAAGGAGAACTTTAAATAATCTGGCCAACTACCTCATGAATGAAGGTTCTAAGGGGAACTTAAAATAATCTGACCAATTACCACATGAGTGAAACGTCCTGAGGGGAAATTTAAATAATCTGACCAACTACCTCATGAGTGAAGGTTCTAAGGGGAACTTTAAATAATCTGGCCAATTACCTCATGAAAGGTTCTGAGGGGAACTTTAAATAATCTGGCCAATTACCTCATGAGTAAAGGTTCTGAGGGGAACTTTAAATAATCTGGCCAATAACCTCATGAATGAAGGTTCTATGAGGAACATTAAATAATCTGGCCAATTACCTCATGAGTGAAGGTTCTAAGGGGAACTTGAAATAATCTGGCCAATTACCTCATGAGTGAAGGTTCTTAGGGGAACTTTAAATAATCTGGCTAGACCAAAATCCGCCAGCTTAATCCTCCCCTCGTAGTCGATAAGCAGATTCTGGGGCTTCATGTCTCTAAATATACAAATAATTATAAAAAAACTCAGGGGTAGATATTATTTTAAAATAAAGGTTTATTTTGGCGGAGTTGGGGAAGTTTAACATTTTAGCGGGAATTTTTTTTTTATTTTTGTTTATTTTTTTATATAAAATTAAACATTTTTTTACCATAAGAATACTTTTCATGTCAAATTTCAAACACTATTATATTATTTGTGGCCAATTTTTTTCATTCTGATATTATGCGGCAGATTTTCTAAGCTTAGAAGGACTGTAAGCGTAAATTCAAGAGAACCTCCATGCAACGATGACAATGCCCGATTCATTACTTTTTCAAATCAAGAACTTTTATAATTTTCAAAACTGATTATTTTCCTTTGTGGGTTCTCTACCAAAGTGACTTGCGCATTTCTGCTGCAGGAATTATTAAACTGAAACATTAGGACACCAAGAAAACATCTTCCACATTATTGATCAGATAAAAGTTACAATAGCACCATTTTAAATCGAGTGTTGCCATCTTTGCAAGAATGGTCAATTTAAATTAGGCTTACAGTCCCTTTAAATCGCCTTTTAGGCCTATTTAGTGGACTAAGACTCAAGTTATCATTAATGCCAAATGTAATGCCCTCTTGTATTAATTGTAGCAAATATTCTAAATATTGAGGGACGGATTTTGTATATCTAAATTTATAGGACCGATTTTAGTATTTCCTTTAATCCGGTTTTATAAAGCGGCATTGTCAGATTCACAACAATGTTCATTGAAATTCTGTTGATCAAAACCAAACACAATTTCCCCATTTGTAAACTAAAAATGAACATTTTATATGATTTCTAGATATAATTGAATTGCGGATATATACCGGAGACAATGTAAGAAATAATTAAAATACAAAAACGTCGATATCTTCCTTATTGTGCAACTTAGATTGAGGTTTAAAGGATACCGTTGTAAATAGAACATGCCGCCATTTTAAACAAAGGGTCCCTTGAAATTACGCCTACAGTCCCTTTTAGTACCTGTGCAGTACACCTCTAGAATGGCAGTACGAAAGTCCTTCGCAGATCTGTTTCAAGTAGGATCGAACCAGTTTCTCTAAAATAAAAAATATTAGAATCTTATTAAATTGGTTTGAATAATAACAGCTCATAACTATTTCCTTTTTATAAATTTTAATTTAAAGTGATTATTTTTCATTTTAAGTCCTCAATTCTTTTTCTCAGATGCAGTGAGGGCCCTTAAGCGGAATGAAAAAATAAATCGGCGAGTACGAAAACGTGCATAAATATATCATTTACACTTAACAAAATTTAATTTAATGAAACTTTAAACACCCGAGGGATTAAAGGATAAACCCGCTTTTTATAAAGAAATGTTTATTTGCGAAATTATATTTTTATGGTAATTTTTTTTTCAAAAGTACAAAAACTAATAAGATCTAGTTTAAAAAAGGTTTATTCATTTGTCCAAAATCTAAAATGCGAGGAGGTGGGAGGGGGTTTACGGGAGGAGGAGGGGGATTACCGGAGGAGGGGGGGGGGAGTACCTGGTAAACCTCCTGTAGCACTAGGATTCTTAATCTTCCTACTCGCAACATAATCATCTAGGTGTCGTTTCAGATCCTGATCAATCAATCAATCAATCGATCAATCACCATTCAGAGCTTTAGGGATTTCCCCATACATCAACAGTCAACACTTGTTTAAACCAGGAAAGAATATTTTTCTGAATTTTCAAATCCAAGAAGAAATTATCAACAACAATACATTGCAAAAATACAATACAAAAATTTAGCGTAATTTGCATAACATTTTGACGAAAAAAACAAAAATTACATGATGTTTGATCTTATAATAGTAAACTTCTTAGCTGATTAAAAGAAAAATTTCCTCTAATAATTTTCTTTTTTCGTATAATTTAATGCTGAAACCTGATGAAACAGTCAGTGAAAGTTTTTGATAATCCCTCATTTGTTAACACACTTGAGATATGAGAACAGACAGATTTTGATTTATATTTTTTTTTGCAGATCAGGATCCAGGATAGCAGTATTGCAGATCCAACGGATCCGGATCCTAAGCACACTTTCTCTTAATTTAAAAGGTTGTGGTACAAATTCAGCAAGTTTTGTGTTAAAATAAAAACTATAACTGAAAGGGAGTGTTCGCGAAAAAGGGGTATAGGCTTACGTCGAAAAAAATTCGATTGTGATAGCTATTAATCTTACTTCTATCCGACTATAATGAGAAATCTGTTAAAAACGACTCATACCGAAGAACGTAGCGTCCATTCGATTACAGAAAGTTGCAATATTTGACTAGGCCTTTTTTTTTAAATCACGGGTTTCAAAATTCCATTATGTGCAGACTTGAGACTGAATATCAAGAATTTGAGCCGCGGCTTAAATATAGTTGGTTCCACTTAAAATTGTATTTAATGTTTCAAGATTTAAGCCGGCGCTCGATTTAAACCGGTATTCATTAAATTCGGATTCAGTAAGTATTAATTTTATTCCTCTTCGATATCCCGTGGTGGTCTTACCCTGCAGGGATGACATGAATTGATGGATTTATCCTTGCACTAAAAAACAGACAACTCAACCCTTAAAAATATGAGAAATTTAAATAATCTGGCCAATTACCTCATGAGTGAAGGTCCTCAGTGTGAATTCCCCCCCCCCCCACCCCCGGAAAAACTATAGAGGAACACCCTCCTCGTCCCTTTTATTAACATTTTTAAGTGGATAAAAAAATGTTACCTGCGGCACCACTTAATTTATCAATTCTTGTCGATTTATTATAAACTTTTTACAAGGAAAATTTTAAAGGGGTTCCCCATTTTCCCTGACCGTGCTAGGGCTTTGACATAAAAATTATTGAAAATCTTCGGGGGGGGCGGGTGTTTCTCGAGTAATTATGTTCTGGAATAATTATGTTCTGGAATAATTATGTTCTGGAATAATTATGTTCTGGAATAATTATGTTCTGGAATAATAATGTTCTGGAATAATAATATTCTCGAATAATAATGTTCTTGAATAATAATGTTCTCGAGTAATGTTTACTCAATTAGCAAATTCCCCCCCCCCCCCCCCCCCCCCGATGGCAGATTTCCCAGTTTTTGGACTAATGAAGAGCCGAAAAATAAAATATCAGTAAATGCATGTATTTACGTTTTTATTTTATTTAATAGCGAAAGAGTAGTCGAGTGCAAAACAGCCGGCAGAAAATTCACAATTTGGTTAACCCTCGATGATAAAAAAGAAATCAGATGAATAAAACATTTGAATTAGCGCCTTGTTTCCAGAAGAGGGGGGAAGGGGAAGTTTAAAGTAAATTTGAAAAAAAACCTTTGAAAACATCAAGCTAAAAAGTTTTGTTATAAAACAAATATATATAAATATATATATCATAACAAGACGACAGTCATATATATGTTTAGTATAGCCGGCCAAACGGCTGAACCGAATGGGCTGCATTTTTTGTGTACACTCATGGGTGGCCGGGGGGTGTAATAGGCCAAAAAAAGCGAGAAAAATATTTTCATTTTCTTTTTCAAATATTTTTTTCCATGAGCAACGCTGGGCTCTTCAGCTAATAATCTACATGATAAAACAAGACATTGATAAATATGTTGCGTATAGCCGGCCAAACGGCTGGACCGACTGGGCGGAATTTTTTGTGGACGGTCATTGGTGGCCGGGATGTGCTTAAGGCAAAAAAATCGAAATGTTTCTATAAATTTTTTTTCCACGGGCAACGCCGGGCCCTTCAGCTAGTAATACAATTAAAATAAAGAGAAAAAATAAGACCAAAGAAAAAGTATTTAGTATTTACCTTATCAAGAAATTCGAAAACAAGATACATGGCTTTATCTGCGTGAACAACATCAAGCAGCTGAACTATTGCACAATGATCTAATTCCTGAACAGAAAAGTATATAGTTTAACATGAACATCAAGCAGCTGGACTATGGCACAATGATTTAATTCCTGAACAGTAAAGTATATAGTTTAACATGAACATCAAGCAGCTGGACTATGGCACAATGATTTAAAGTATATAGTTTAACATGAACATCAAGCAGCTGGACTATGGCACAATGATTTAATTCCTGAACAGCAAAGTATATAGTTTAACATGAACATCAAGCAGCTGAACTATTGCACAATGATTTAATTCCTGAACAGTAAAGTATATAGTTTAACATGAACATCAAGCAGTTGAACTATGGCACAATGATCTGATCTAACTCCTTAAAAGCAAATTATATAGTTATACATGAACATCAAGTACTTTAACTATTGCACAATGATTTAATTCCTGAACAGTCAAATATATAGTTTAACATGAACCTCGTCCTCAGGGAACAGTTTATATATCTTTAAATATAACGAACTCGTTTTTTTTGGACAGTGTAAATTTTGGGGTAAAATATTCTTAAATCATCTTTTATAATACTAGCTTGGAAAGTTGGAAACCCAGAGTTGCATACATAGGTTACTCTTAGTTACTCCCCGTCGTTTACCCGCACTTATACGATTATTACCGGTAAACTATCTTTTCGCTATAAAAGTCGACCCACTTAACTAAGAATTTCAAAACCAAACTAAGAACATTCCCGTGGATCTCTCGAGGTCTCTAATCAAAATTTGAGGCAAATCGGTTCAGAGGTTCCTGAGTTCTGATCGGACAAACATACTAACAGACAATACAACTTTATATATAGATATATGTTAATAATTTCAAATGATCTACAATGTATCAAGGTAAGTCGGGAATGTAATTTTCAATTTGGCACCTGAGTTCAGAGGATTTTAATTTTAAGAATTACATACCCCCCCCCCCGCAGTGAGATGGAAAACAAGTTTTTTTTAAGAATTGGGAGAAAAAATATAAACTCGAAAATCAAGTTTTTTTGTCCTATGTGATACTTTCCCCCAAATCAGTGCTTCTGCTTACTGCTAAGGTTCCATTCAACTTTGATTATTTGACATTTTTCTTATTTCTTTTTGCTCAAACTTAATGAACCATTGAAAATCTTTACAATTTACAGTTTACAATTTTATTTATGTTTTTAGAGATAAATTTGTTGTTTTGGTTGGTAGCTCTTTGCTTCCAAAGCATTCACCCCAATATTTTTTATTTATTTATTCCGAATTTGGCGAAAAAAAAACCCTAAAAAGCATTGTTAGCGATGCGCGTTAGCGTTCCCGACGTTGGGGGGGGGGGGGATTTTTTTCAATAGTATACACCCCTGCAATCGTAGCCTGTATATTTGTAGCCTGAAAAATACCTTGAGTAAACTAATTTCTCGCATAGCTGTTGATGGAACTCCTTCACTCTCTGTATCTAGGCGAATCTTCTTCATCGCAACCAGCTCATTCGTCATCTTGTCCAGAGCCTACGTTATGTCTTGTCTTAGTTGCATTGGATTAATTTAGTTTTCATTCATTTATTTGTGTTTTTTGTCGTGAGTTTTTGTTTTATTTTGACTTTCTATTCCCCTCAATTTTTCCCCAAGTGCATATCATAGGATTCCCATTTTTCCTGGTTTTTATTTATTAAAACCACGGATTTATTGGTATTGAGTAGAAAAAATTGCTTTAGGTTTCAGAAAATTCGTCACGTTTTATACTTTGAATTTGATCTTTATTTTGTTTAAAGAGATTTTTTAATCGCTTCAACCGCGCTGATGTTTCAGTTTATGATTTTTATACATTAGTGCAGTGCTTATGTTAATGATCAAAATCTTGAAATTTTCGATTTAAATATTAATTAAAAATGTACACTTTAACCAAAACATAGAATTAAATAATAATAGATATATCTTATCTAATGCCTTCAATATAATCTTTATAAATCACAAATATATTAAATTAGTTAGAAGTGTTAAAAATAATGAAGCACCAAAAACCGATAGAACTAGAAATTCTCCCTGTTAGGAAGAGATTTCTCTGATAATTAAAAAAGTCTGTAATAAACAACCTATAATCAACAGTGTCTAAATTCCAGAAAATTATTATTGATGATAAAGGTGAAAGCAAAGTTATACACCAAAATGCAAGCTTTACCATACTACTAAATACTTTTTAGTACCCAAAAATGCATTTAATTTCGCCTAAGCCTAAAATCAAATATTTTAAAGAATTCAGTGAATACAACTACAGAAAAATTTCATTCTTAAAAGGGGGGGGGGGCGAACTTATAAAGAAAATATTCGACACTGACTATAAATTGCAAGTTAGAAAGACCCAAATTAGGAAGACAAAAGAAAAAACGCTTGGTGACCCCCCCCCCCCACAACGGTGGTTCCCCGCAAGTTGGAAACCGGCCACCGTGAAAATGAACATGAGTTAACATAACATAACAATAGTGTAAAAACGTTTTTAAATCAGTGAAACATTCACATTCACATGAGTCTATCATAGAGAGCGTTTTTGCCCCCCCCCCCCCTTCTTATCAAATTTGAACGTGACCAGTAAATTAAATCAAGTTAACAAATATTTATTTTGTATTATTAAGGGATAGGTTAGGATTAGAAACTTTCTGGGCCAAGCGCTGCGGCTAGAATAGTCTAGGGGGCCTAGTGCTGCAATTAGGAAAAGGCTAGGGGGCCACGAACGGCGGCCACATGTCTGACTTTGCAACCATGTTTAAAATATTCATAAATATGTAAATAATTGATCGGAGGAGAGGGCCCGGGGGAGAGGGGAGAGGTTCTTTAGAAAATTACCCCTTATTATTACCTTGTAAACTATACCATACGTCCCTTGGCCGATTTTCTCGATCTTCTGGAAGAATTCCATCTTCGGGAATTGTCTTCCCGGCCGTAAAGAAATTCTCGTCTGAACGCTTAGAACAGACAATTCGTTATCTGTAATGAGAAAAATAGATGAAAAATTATCCAATTAGTCGAATTTAATCGAAATAATAAGTGTTTAGTTAAATTAGTTAAGCTATGTTTACTTCTGATCTGAAAATTTGGCGGCTTAACTATTTCAGAAAATTAACCGCGGCACTCACGAATTGGTCAGTCGTCTGTGATCAGAACCAGGGGTGCAACTTTTTTCAAAGAAATTATTATTTTCAAAAAAATTACAGAATCTCATTGATTGAAATTGTTTCGGTTATAAAAAAAGCGTATAAAAAGACTTCAGTTAACAAGTAAAAAAAAATGTTATTTTTGCAATAATCTCGATTTTTTCTGAAAAATTGGCATTTCTCAATTGCGCATTTAAAAGTTTCTGACAGTTTTTGTACATTAAATGACTACAAGTGTTCGCTCAATCGTATGCATTTCAGTTTATTAGGAAGACAGCGAATGAAAATATTGATAATTTTCTCTTGTTGCTAAGCTGTAAACAGGGATGTATAGAAAATAGAAAATATTAAAATTTTAATTAAGAATATAGAAAATTAAGAAATATATAAGGTATTTTATTTTTCATGAGAATTTTGTTCAGATTTGTTAGAAAAGAAAATTAGGATTGCATGGCTTATACTACGCTCCTATTTTTCTAGAATAATCTGAGGGTTGAGACATTCAGTTGCGCAGTTACAGCTGATACACAGATATAGTAACATTCCCTTCTCTCTCTCTCTAGTCTAAATTAGCGTTAAGGTAAGATTTTTTGGTTATAAAATTTTCCTATTTAGACAATTATTATTGCAGAGATATACTTAAAATTCTATTTTCCATGGCTAGATCGATGTGTAATTTCGAGAGATGTTTTTGTTAATTTGGACCATTCCTAGAGAACGATTTTTGGACCTCCCCCACCCTTGGTTAACCAGCTTCCCTCCCCCTTGGTAAACCATCTTCCCTCCACTTTTTTAAAAGTGAATATTTGCAAATTATCTTTTTTTCATCTCATAATCTGAGTTCGTTTCCTTCATGACCATTTGACAACCCAAATTTTTATTTGGAATAATTTTTTTTTTTGTTTATTTTCTTGTAGATTTTAACAATTTTTTTTTTTTTATCCATGTTGACGGACCGAAATATATTTTCAATAAATGTGAACTAACATCTACTCTACAGAGGTTTGGTTTATCACTTTAAAACTAAAAAAATCAACTTGCTGTTAATGACCTTCTACTTATTTTAGATGTCTGAAGAACATTTTGATGAGTTTGAACATTTTAACTACGATCAAGACAAGATGATGCACGCTGGTCAGAGCGGTAAGTTTGATTTATCAAGCCGTGCGCAAAAAAATATTTCATTTCATAATTGCCGGAAAATGATATTTCATGATTTTTGCTCGTTTTTGTTACCTTCTCACAAATATAAACGTTTTCTTGACAAATATGAGTGTTTTTTCGACAAAGATAAATCTTTCCTCGACAAATATGAACGTTTTCTTGACAAATGTAAAGATTTCTTGACAAATGTGAACATTTTCTTGACAAATGTGAACATTTTCTTGACAAATGTGAACGTTCTCTTGACAAATGTAAAGATTTCTTTACAAATGTGAACATTTTCTTAACAAATGTGAACATTTTCTTGACAAATGTGAACATTTTCTTGACAAATGTGAACATTTTCTTGACAAATGTGAACGTTCTCTTGACAAATGTAAAGATTTCTTAAATCGACAAATGTGAACATTTTCTTGACAAATGTGAACATTTTCTTGACAAATGTGAACATTTTCTTGACAAAGTTGAACATCTTCTTGACAAATGTGAACATTTTATTGACAAATGTGAACGCTTTCTTGACAAATGTGAACGCTTTCTTGACAAATGTGAACGCTTTCTTGACAAATGTAAAGTTTTCTTGTCAATTGTTATTTATTCTAGAAAAATATAAACCTTTTTTTTTTTGACAAATATATACGTTTTTTGTAAACTGTAAACGTTTTCCTGACACAAATTTAAACGTTTTCCTGACAAATGTAAACGATTTTTTGACTAATGTTGACGTCTCCTGGACAAAATAAATAGATTTTTTAATAATTCACATCTACATTACATTTTTCGTTAAAAATCAAATTGTTTCCGTCCTCACCCCCAGCCCGTGAAGTCTGAAGGCAGTACTGATTAAGCTTTTTTAATAAAACTTTTTTGTCAAGGGCAAAAGTGAGATTTTAAAGTATTTTTTTTATACGATGTTATTGTACTGAAATGGAATACTTGCGTAATTTCAAGTGACCCTCCATTTATAGAGTGGCATGTTCGATTTGCCTTTGAAACCTTCATTTATCCATCATTTCTGAAGCAAGAAATGCGCGAGTCACTTTTGTAGAGAAACCACAAATAAAAATAATACATTTTCAAAATGGGAAACATGGATATTTAATGCAATACTTGATCAGCCAAAGCTTTGAAGGGTATTGTGAATCAGAATATATTTTATTTCTTTTCTCAATCTTTTAGTTCGGGTGAGTGCAATGCAATGCAATATAGAATGTAGATTGCCTGAGGAAGGGAAATGCAAGCAGCTGTCAAATTAAAAGAGCCCCCCTCTTACGCCCCTGATCCCAACCCACCAAACACCCCCATTAAACTCCGAACGAATTTACCCTTTACAAATCCTGTTTAAGGCAGAATACGGAATAGATTTCTCCCAACTCTTGACCAATAGAAATGCATTCATTCATTCTTTTCCACAAATTAATTCACTTCCACTTCAAAGTAATCATTCAATTTCAATTCCTTTCTAAATTGTCAAAATTTCAATTTTTAGTCAAAGCATAATTAATTAATTTCTACTAATCATTCATTCAATCATTCAATGTCCACTTCCATTATATTATCCATCATTCATTTTCTATTTTATCATATTATCAATCATTCCATCATCGACTTCCATTAGATTATCAAATCAATCCTCAATTTAATTGAATTTTCATTAGATTTAGATTATCAAATCAATCCTCAATTTAATTAAATTTCCATTAGATTTAGATTATCAAATCAATCGTCAATTAAATTGAATTTCCATTAGATTCAGATTATTAAATCAATCTTCAATTTAATTGAATTTCCATTAGATTTAGATCATCAAATCAATCTTCAATTTAATTGAATTTCCATTAAATTCAAATCAATCCTCAATTTAATTGAATTTCCATTAGATTCAGATCAATTTAATTGAATTTCCATTAAATTCAGATTATCAATTCAATCCTCAATTTAATTGAATTTCCATTAGATTCAGATTATCAAATCAATCCTCAATTTAATTGAATTTCCATTAGATTTAGATTATCAAATCAATCCTCAATTTAGTTGAATTTTCATTAGATTTAGATTATCAAATCAATCTTCAATTTAATTGAATTTCCATTTGATTTAGATTATCGATAAACTATTAAAAAATTACTTTTAATCATTCATCGACTTCCATAAAAAAAGTTTAACTTAAATCGATTATTCCTTGATTAAATTACCACTTAATGCATCCTGAAGAATTTTCTGTTCAAAGAATTTGATCAGATTTATTCAAAAAATTTAGGAAAGCTTTCAAATTAATTAAGAAAGAAATTAAATTCCGAGAACACTGGTGTAATTGTCGTCTTTACAAATCCCATTTATAATTTTAAATGTCGTCGTCTTTGACATAAATTCTTGAATGATAAATCTAGGAAAGCAGAGAACTAAGAAGGAGGCGAGCTTGAACACAAACCACCATAACCCCGGGGGTCACGAGAGGAAGATTCTTAACAAACTGATGAATGCAGAGAAACATAATAAACAACGTGATGCCGCGGCTGCAGCTAAGTAGGTCAGATTGGCACAACAGGTACTAAACAATATTAATTTATGTTTTTTATTAAATCCCTCCCCCCCCCCTTCCATCCGTCATCCTCCATGGCGCACTCACACTGGTGAAGAGGGGGGGGGGTATAAAAATTAAAGAAACTCCAAATTTTAAAGGTAATGCCCCTTTTTTGATGTTTTTCTAAAATGGCTTTTTAACGTACAAAAATTTTTACTTCACTCATTTTTTTCTTAAATCATGATCAAATTGTTAAATTTCGTTTGCTCTGAGTCCAAAACTAAAGAACGATAAGTTTTGACTTAAATTCTAAGTTCATGGTTAAATGTCACTTCTGACTTAATTTAAACCTGAACTTTAACCGTGAGGTTAAATATTTAACCTTGTGGATAAATATTTAACCCTGTGGTTAAATATTTAACTCGCCGAAATCGACGAGTTAAAATTTAAACACAGGGTTTGAAATCTTGAAATCCCGCAATCCCTATTTGTTTATCATCATTCAGCGCTAAGCGGCATTCAACTAATTACGATTTATTAAGTAAAAACCTTGATTTAATAAAATTTCACGTTTTAGATTAATTAATGTTTGCATGTAAATCCAAAATACGGTTGTAACTCGAAATATGTTTTGTTTTCGGTTACGTAATCAGCTGATTAGCGATGGTTACGTAATATTTTCCGTAAATCCTTTTCTCTGATTGGTTCAGATTTTCCCGGGAAATTCAAATTTAAAATTGAGAAAGTTTAATATTTAAGTAGATATTCATTATTTTACAGAACTTTTAACCTCGAACTTAAAATTCGCGCATTCTTTAGTTTTAGACTCTGTTCAGTTTAAAATCAGCTTTGTGTTGAATTCCTTATAGGGTTCCGTTGTGAATTGTCCTAAGCATTAGACAAGTTCCCCGGAATATCATTTAAACTGGAGGTTCAGAGGGGAGGGAGGGAGGGCTTATAAACGATTACAGGAAATATTGTAATTGTAATTCTATTTCATATTATGAATTGGTAAAAATTCATTTTTTTCGGTAGTTGGAGTTTCGAGTTTGAAATTATTGGTTATGTTCTTTCTTGTTTTCTCCCTTGGGATAAAGTTTTTTGTTCGATATTAGTTTTTTTTAGAAAGAACCATTTAGATATTTGATATACAATTTGAACTAAAGGAACCTTTTGAAAAAAATCAGATTCTCCCTTTAATAGTTGAAATTAATTTTCTGTAAATTGTTTAATTTTTTTTTTAGATTATTCAGTTTGCTGAGTGCTGCGGTCTATATTCCTGTCATGGACTGATTCTTGACAAGGATTGGGACCAATAGAGAAGACCTTTTTTGTCTACTTTGTATTTTTATATTTCCGTCTATTTAATGATATGGTGTATGTTAAGTTTCCCCCCCCCCCAAAAAAAAAAAAAATAACATGGTGCATGTTAAGTTCCCCTCCCCCCTCATCTATTTCGCGTTTTGGTTAATTTTTATGTGTGATTTTGAATATTTGTAAATTTTATATTATTGTCCGTAGATATATTTCCCGGACACCATTTATTGCATTTCAGTTTAATGTTTTGATTTCTAAAATAAATATGTTTGAGTTTGATAATTGTTTTTTAGTTTCAACATATGTTCTTACATAACGTTGAATGATGCAATAAGGAACAAGTGGCAAGTTGGACCGTGATAAGAATTTTTTTATTAAATTTTTTTTCTATTGACAAAGAAATCGAGAACACATGGTAATTGATGGCGCATTTGAAGATAAAAGAAAAATTGGATTTGACTGCCTGAATTGTCCTTCATTTTCCCAAAATTGTTCGCTCGATGATAACAATTTAAGATACCCGTTTATGTGAAAGTTTGACTTTAAAAAGTATTTTGTTTACTACAATAATATGTTTAGATCTGAAATTACCCTCTAATGTTCTAAATAGATAAGCTTGGACAAAACTTTTCTTATTAAAGCTTTACATCCCTAATATCTTAAATATTTTTCATTTCTTCATGTATTTTTGGTTTACCTTATTTATTTTGTTATAGTTGGAGTTGAGTTTTCTTCATTAAAATTAGCGTATATTATCTAACCCTGGGACGAAATAAAAACTCTAAAATTACCAACACGCTGTAAAGATTGTTAAATTATACGCACAAAAAACCTGACATTTTTTAGAGATTATTTTTTAAACGGGCCATCGCAAGCACTTTCAAAAATCACTAATTAAGGTCGATTTTTCATTGTTTTCTAAATTTTTAACCGATTTTTATAATTTTAACGTTTTTTTCTAAAGTTTTTAACGTTTGATATTTGGAAAAACATATTTTTGCTTTCACTAGTAATTTAGTACTTGCAGAAACGTGATGCGCTGCATCTGCATTAATCTGAAAGTGTGAAAAAATTACATATTTGACTACAACAACAAGACATGAATAAAATGATAAAACTTTACATCACCTTGAAAGCATAATG